TGCAGCCGGTCGAAGGACGTAGTAGAGCCTCTGCTGCGGCCGCAGTGGTACGTGCGCTGCGGAGAGATGGCCCAGGCTGCCAGTGCGGCCGTGACACGGGGAGACCTCCACATCCTGCCTGAGGCCCATCAGCGCACATGGCATGCCTGGATGGACAACATCCGGTGTGTAGGGCCCTCCGTGTGGGAGGGGCAGGGCTTGGGCTGGGCTCCACCAGGCCCTCTCTGATTTCCCCACCCCCACATTTGCAGGGACTGGTGCATTTCCAGGCAGCTGTGGTGGGGCCATCGCATCCCAGCATACTTCGTCATTGTCAATGACCCAGCAGTGCCCCCTGGGGAGGTGAGCAGAGGGCCAGAGCTGGATGCTGGGACACTTGGGGGAGTGGTGGGTTTATTGGGTCGTTGGTTGGGAGGAGGGGCAGGGTGAGGCAGAAGCAGACACACCCTCTTGTGTAATCACTGCACGTGCGGCAGGACCCTGACGGGCGGTACTGGGTGAGTGGACGAAACGAGGCAGAGGCCCTGGAGAAGGCGGCCAAGGAGTTCGGAGTGTCCCCTGACAAGATAAGTCTCCAGCAAGGCAAGGCAGGGCCTTGAGGGTTTGGAGGGAGTTGAGGGGGCAGAGCTCCACTCCCTCTAACCTCTAACCTTTGGCCTGTCTCAGATGAGGATGTATTGGATACCTGGTTCTCCTCTGGCCTCTTCCCCTTTTCCATCTTGGGCTGGCCCAACCAGGTGAGTTCCTGGGGCCAGGGCAGGGCGGGACAGGGGACTAGAGGTGGGGTGTTGGTTTCCCTTCACACCCCGGTCTGTCCTCAGTCAGAAGACCTGAGTGTGTTCTACCCTGGGACACTGCTGGAGACTGGTCACGACATCCTCTTCTTCTGGGTGGCCCGGATGGTCATGCTGGGTCTGAAGCTCACGGGCAGACTGCCCTTTAGAGAGGTGCGGAGACAGCCAAGACCCTCCCACAGCCCCCAGCCTCCAGCCTCCTCTCCTGCCCTCCTCTGCTGCAACTTGGGCCCCGAGTGGCTGGGACATGGGGTTGGCTGTGGGCCAGCGTGGACGGAGAGCTGGTGGGGGTTGAAATCCAGCCTGGTCCCTGCTCAGTGATTCCTGTGCCCCAGCCCAGGGCTTCGTCTTCCCAGAGGAGGGAGTACTTCTGATTCACATAAAGGCGCTGAATGAGCTCTTGGGGACACTTAGTGGGGCCTGTGGTTCATAGTTGGGTAGACCAGACACAGTCTTGGCCAGGCACTGAGGCTGGGGATGAGGTGACTGCATCTCACGGGCCTCCCCACCTGCCCTGCAGGTCTACCTCCATGCCATTGTGCGAGATGCTCATGGTCGGAAGATGAGCAAGTCTCTAGGCAATGTCATCGATCCCCTGGATGTCATCCACGGAGTCTCCCTGCAGGTGGGCTGGGTGCTGGGACAGCCAGGAAGGGCTGTAGGGCTGTGGCCAAGGTGGGCTGGGTGCTGGGACAGCCAGGAAGGGCTGTAGGGCTGTGGCCACAGCCACCTGACTGCTCCCATTTCAACCTCAGGGCCTCCATGACCAGCTGCTGAACAGCAACCTTGATCCCAGTGAGGTGGAGAAGGCCAAGGAAGGGCAGGTATGGAGGGTTGAGCTGGGCTGAGCAGGAGCACAGCGTGGATGGGACTGGCTGAGGATGCTCCTCCCCCTGCCTCTTCCCTGTAGAAAGCTGACTTCCCAGCGGGGATTCCCGAGTGTGGCACCGATGCTCTCCGGTTTGGATTATGTGCCTACACGTCCCAAGGTAAGGCGCCCAAATCTTTCCTTCCGGCTACTCCTTCCGTGAGGCCATCCCGTCCTCCACCCTGAGCCTCTGGTGGGCATGGGCTGGGAAGAGGATGCTGAGGACTACATCTCACCCCTGACCTAGGTCGTGACATCAACCTGGATGTGAATCGGATACTGGGTTACCGCCACTTCTGTAACAAGCTCTGGAATGCCACCAAATTTGCCCTCCGTGGTCTTGGGAAGGATTTTGTGCCTTCACCCACCTCCCAGGTAAGGGCCTGATGGGCAGCAAAGCTGGCAGCACCCACACAGGCTGCACCCCTGTCCAGAGGGGCTTCCATGTAGCTGGGGGGACAGATAGACACAGAGACAGTTAGAGCTCTAGAAAGCTCTGGAAAGCCCAGGGCATTGGGGGCTGGGGCCTGTCATTTCTCCCCAGATCCTGGCACATACATGATTACTTTGGACTCATCAGACTTTGGGTGAAGATTTGGCCATGACTCCTGCTCCCAAGGGGTTATGGTACCCTCCCCTGGTGCACCAGCTGATACACCCTCTCTCCCCAAGCCCGGAGGCCATGAGAGCCTGGTGGACCGCTGGATCCGCAGCCGCCTGACAGAGGCTGTGAGGCTCAGCAACCAAGGCTTCCAGGCCTACGACTTCCCGGCCGTCACCACTGCCCAGTATAGCTTCTGGCTCTATGAGCTCTGTGACGTCTACTTGGTGAGAAGGAGCAGAGTGGGGCAGGGGACGGCAGGGGCAGGTGGACAGCAGAGCCCTGGGCTCAGCTTTGCCAGAGTTGGCTTTGAGACCTAAGCCAATCCATCCCCTTCCCAGTCCTCCCAGGCACAGCCAGGGCTCAAGGCTAGACTTCCAGCCTTGAGTTCTGTATTTCTAATCCCCTAGGAGTGCCTCAAACCTGTACTGAATGGGGCGGACCAGGTGGCAGCTGAGTGTGCCCGCCAGACCCTGTACACCTGCCTGGATGTTGGCCTACGCCTGCTCTCGCCTTTCATGCCCTTCGTGACAGAGGAGCTGTTCCAGAGACTGCCTCGGAGGACGCCGCAAGCTCCCCCTAGCCTCTGCATTACCCGATACCCGGAGCCCTCGGAGGTATGGCCTGGCCTGGAGAGGGGAGTCTGGCCTGCCCTCCAGGTCCCCTTACCCCCTCCTCCACCCCACAGTGCTCCTGGAAGGACCCGGAGGCAGAAGCCGCCCTCGAGCTGGCGCTAAGTATCACGAGAGCTGTGCGCTCCCTTCGGGCTGACTACAATCTCACCCGGATCCGGCCTGACTGTGAGCCTCAGGCCCCGATGTCCACCCCATCCCACTGTCCCCTCAGCCTACTCTGGGACCCAGTGTCCAGCAGTGGCTGCTTGGTTTCCTGTCTCCACGGAGCCAGGCCTCACCTTTCTCCCTCCCCTGCAGGTTTCCTGGAAGTGGCAGATGAGGCCACGGGTGCCTTGGTGTCAGCTGTGTCGGGCTACGTGCAGGCACTGGCCAGTGCGGGTGTGGTGGCCGTCCTGGCCCTGGGGGCTCCCGCCCCACAGGGTTGCGCTGTAGCCCTGGCCTCTGATCGCTGCTCCATCCACCTGCAGCTGCAGGGGTTGGTGGACCCAGCGAGGGAGCTGAGCAAGCTGCAAGCCAAGAGAGTTGAGGCACAGCGGCAGGCCCAGCGTCTGCGGGAACGCCGTGCTGCCTCAGGCTACCCTGTCAAGGTGCCCCCTGAAGTCCAGGAGGCAGATGAAGCCAAGGTGTGTGGCATGGGTGGGCATTTCCACCATCCGCTTCCTCCATCAGAACCTTGGTCTGGGCTGGTCCAAGGGCTGTGGTATTGACAAGTAACTGATCACAACCAGTTATAGATTTCTTTGTTCCTTCTCCACTCCTGCCAGCCTTAAAAACAAAACAGGCCAGCTCAGTGGCTCATACCTGTAATCCCAGAATTTTGGGAGGCTGCGGTGGGTGGATCACTTGAGCCCAGGAGTTTGAGACCAGCCAACATGGTGAAATCCTATCTCTACAACAAAAATACAAAAATTAGCCGGCCATAGTGGCACACACCTGGGGTCCCAGCTACACGGGAGGCTGAGGTGGGTGGATTGCTTGAGCCCGAGAGGCCAAGGCTGCAGTGAGCCAGCGTCGTGCCACTGCACTCCAGCCTGGGCGACAAAGAGAAGACCCTGTCACACACACACACAAAAACAAACAACAAAAAAAACAACAACCCGCAAAACAAAAACAAAAGCCAATCCTGGTCTGGGAGCTGGAATCTGTGCTCAACCCTGCGGAATCCACTGGGAAGAATGGAGCCCAGGCCTTATGAGCAGGAACCATGGAATGGCCCCTCCTTACACATGGGGAACAGCTCTGGGCTGGTCACAGCCCAGGGTCACACAACAGGTCAGAGATGGAGGCCGACCTAGAACCAGGCATCCTGTCTCCCAGCCAGACCCTTCATTCCCCACCTGCTCCCCGAAATATGGAAACCTGCAGGCCTGGGCTGGGCTTGGGATCCGCATGGCGTCAGGGAGCCCTGGACTTCCCACCACTTACTTTCAAGCCTCCTGGGTTGACCCTGGAAAGCCAGTCTCATTTGTCCCCTGCCTCCTGGGTTCCGCCAGAGAGAGGCAGTGGAGTAAACTGCACAGACACAGAGAAAACCAGTCATCTAGCTCAGGAGGCCAAGAGCTAGAGAGCCTTGAGTGGAAGTAGTTCATCTCACATGGTTCTCCCAAGAGCCTCGGGAGGGGGTCAATATCCTCTTCATCTGACAAATGAAGTGACCTTCCTGGGAGCCTGTGCTCTACTCAGGTGGGGACCATGGGTGGGGGCATGTATGCCCTGAGTCTCCTTTGTTCTTGGGGACTGACCACTCGGTGGAAAAAGGCAAGACCCAAGAGGTGGAAGTGGGGATGCTGGTGGGAATGGGTGGGGAGCCTGGCCAGCCAAGCACGTGCCTCCTCTGAGCCACTGACCCCCCATGGTCCTTGCTCATCTTTGTAACTTTGCTCTGGGCGTGTGGGTGTCCCTTTGCTTGGACCTGGGTCCTCACCCCACCCCCACCTGGTTCCACTTCAGCTCCAACAGACAGAAGCAGAGCTCAGGAAGGTGGATGAGGCCATCGCCCTATTCCAGAAGATGCTGTGATCCACCACCCAGCTTCACCCCTCACCTCCAGCAGCTTACCACAGGGTGGCAGCAATAAAATATTTTCCCACAAAATCCTCTTGTCATCTATGGTGGGCAGAGAGGGGAGCAGAGGGCCTGGATTCCTGAATCTTTGGTGGCTGCAGGGTGGGAGTGAGGCCCTGGTCCTGGAGGATAGAGGGGTGCGTCTCTCTGGGTCTGTTCCTGGCGCTGGGCCAGGTCTGAGTCACGCTGCTTGCTCCCTTCCTCCTCCCCAGCTCTCATTCACCTCCACACTGCAGCCAAGGGAGGCCCGTCCTGGTGTGGGCTGCTGCCTGTGGCCTTGGGCAGGCATGAGCAGAGGGGCTTGGGGTTGCCCGTCCTCCCCTACCATGCTGGGGCTTCCCTCCCCCTTCACTGAGCCCTGGTTAATTATAACTCTGACCTAAGTGCCCTGTGACGTCGCGCCCAGGCCAGCCCTGCCCAGGAGACCCAGCAACCAGGTAGGGGAGGGCCCAAGAGGACTCAGGCTTCCTGGGTGTGGGGAGTGTTTCTGTGGCAGTGCTGGGGATTCATCCAGCGACTAGGGAGGGGCGCCTGGGGGAGGAGCCTTGGACCCCTCTCCTGGCAGGTGTGTATGTCCCTATTGGTCTGATGAGACCCTCAGGTTGTCTGGGTGACGGGGCGGGCGGGGGGCAGAGGGCGGGGAAGCCAGGCTGGAGCAGATGTGACTTAAGGTAAAGCTGGTGCTCATGGAGACCAGCAGAGCCAGCCTGCCTTGGAATCACAGCTGCTTTCTCCTCCCTTGAGAGCCTTCTGTTTCCCAGGTCCATGTCTCAGCCATGCTCCCCATGGAGGTGCCCCAATCCCACCCAGGCCCCTCAGCGTTGCTTCTGCTGCAGCTGCTGCTGCCCCCCACATCTGCTTTCTTCCCCAACATCTGGAGCCTGCTGGCTGCCCCTGGCTCCATCACCCACCAAGACCTGACTGAGGAGGCAGCACTCAACGTCACCCTGCAGCTCTTCCTGGAGCAGCCGCCCCCAGGCCGCCCCCCTCTTCGTCTTGAGGACTTCCTGGTGAGCATCCTGGGTCCTGTCACACCCCTGCCAGATTCCCCAATTCCATGGGGCCTCTACTCGTTGAGGGTTCTGGTTGCCAAGAGAAGAAACACCTATGGCCCCACCCCTGCAGCAACAATACCCAGTAGTCTTGGTCCTGAAATTAGGAGTCTCCCTACTTAGAAAGGTCCAGGACTGGCTGGTGGCTCATGCCTGTAATCCCAGCACTTTGGGAAGCCAAGGCAGGTGGATCACGAGGTCAAGAGATAGAGACTATCCTGGCCAACATGGTGAAACCCCCTTCTCTACTAAAAATATAAAAATTAGCCGGGCATGGTGGCATGCACCTGTAGTCCCAGCTACTTGGGAGGCTGAGGCAGGAGAATCGCCTGAACCCAGGAGGTAGAAGTTGCAGGTGAGCTGAGATTGCGCCACAGTATTCCAGTGGCGACAGAGCAAGACCCTGTCTCAAAGAAAAGAAAAAAGAAAAGAAAGGTCCAGGACTTGCCCTCCTTAATAGGGGTCAGGACCCTCATAGCCAGCCTTCAGTGTAGGTTGCTGAGGTAAGGTGGGCAACGGTCAATCCAAGGGGCCTCCCTGGAGCCCCGTCCCCTGCTGTTCTCTGCAGGGTCGAACACTCCTTGCCGATGACCTCTTTGCTGCCTACTTTGGACCTGGGTCTCCTTCCCGGAGGTTCCGAGCAGCCTTAGGTGAGGTGTCTCGTGCCAATGCAGCCCAGGACTTCCTACCAACTTCCAAAAATGACCCCGACCTGCACTTTGATGCTGAGCGACTGGGTCAGGGACGTGCGCGCCTGGTAGGGGCTCTGCGGGAAACCCTGGTGGCAGCCAGAGCCCTTGACCACACCCTGGCCCGCCAGTGCCTCGGGGCTGCGCTCCATGCCCTGCAGGTGAGAACAGGGTTGGGGGGATGGTCAGAGGGGTCTTCACTTCCAGTGTGCCTGGCTGGGATGGATCCTGTCCTATGGTGCTTTCCTGATCATGCTTCTTCCACTCTGGAAAGGGTGGGCACTGGCAAGCAGTGCCCCAAGGCTGTGTCTCAGTCCCCACTTCCAAGCTGGAAGTGCTCCCTGTGGGAACAGAAAGGAGGGCACTGTGGCTGGAGAGAAGTGAGGGTGAGAGAGGAAGGCTTCGAGATCAGGGAGGTGAATGGAGTAGCACAAGTCGTGGGGCTCTACAGGCCAAGACAGGCCTTTGCCTGGACTCTGAGCTGGGAAGAGACACTGGGACAATTTCCACCTGGGCAAAGCTCTGGTCTGAGCAATGGAGAGAGGGCAGTGGAGGAGACTTGGGGTGTCTGGTGGGAGCAGCAAGGGTGGTAGGGGATTTTCTGGGTGGGAAACTCGAAGGAGTGGCATATTAGGGCTGGAGATGTGAGAAGAATCAGACTAGTGCCTCATTCCCCTTCTCCTGTTCTCCGGACCAGGATTTCTACAGTCACAGCAATTGGGTGGAGCTGGGTGAGCAGCAGCCACACCCTCACCTCCTCTGGCCAAGGCAGGAGCTCCGAAACCTGGCACAAGGTACAGCTATGACCCTGGTGGTGATGTGGGAGCCCACAGGGCCACCTCCTCAGTTCACCCAGCCACCATGTGACATCCTGAGGTCTCAGAGGGTGTGATGTTACTTAATCTCCACAAGGACTGAGGTCTCCCAGTCCAAGCAATGCCTGACCCGGTTAAGCAGCTGCCCCAAGGTCACACAGGGAAGAGTATGGAGGATCACAGTCCCATCTGAAGTGTGGCTTCCTCCCCGCACTGACTCACACAGGGCCTTCTCTCACAGTCCCCTCATCCTCTTACCCAAAAATTGCCTCTTTTCCAAAACTCACAAAGGCCATAATCCCCACAGGATTGGTCCCTACATGCACTGTGGGGGATTTTTATTATTTATTTATTTTTTAGATGGAGTTTCACTCTGTCGTCCAGGCTGGAGTGCAGTGGTGAGATCTCGGCTCACTGCAACCTCTGCCTCCTGGGTTCAAGTGATTCTCCTGCCTCAGCCTCCCAAGTAGCTGGGATTACAGGCCTGCACCACCACACCTGGCTAATTTTGTATTTTTAGTAGAGGCAAGATTTCTCCATGTTGGTCAGTCTGGTCTCGAACTCTGGACCTCAGGTGATTTGCCTGCCTTGGCTTCCCAAAGTTCTGGGATTATAGGCGTGAGCCACTGCACCTGGCCTCCTTCTTCTTTATTTATGTATTTATTTACTTTTTAGAGATGAGGTCTCACTATGTTGCCCAGGCTGGTCTCAAACTCCTGGACTCAAGCAATCCACCCGCCTCGGCCTCCCAAAGTGCTGGGATTACAGACATGAGCCACCGCGCCCGGCCCGTTCTGTGTGTTCAAGCACAGCCGCACTCTCAAACATTCAGTCTCACTGTGGGCCCATGATCCTAGGTTTCAGGGTTTTGCCTCATCTCAGCTGGGAGGAAAAGCTGAAGAATTTGGGGTGGTTGGGGATAAAGGCTGGGAGTGGCAAAATCTTGGGTTCTAGCCCTGCCCTCTCTTTCCAGTGAGCGATCCTACCTGCTCCGATTGCGAGGGGTTGAGCTGCCCTGGGAATTGGCTGGGCTTCACCCTCCTCACCTCGGGTTACTTTGGAACTCATCCCCCCAAGCCTCCAGGTACCAGACAAGAAAGCTCCCCAGAAGTAATGGGAGAAAGCCACTCCCTGACCGGTCTCTGTCCTGTAGGCTCGCTTGCCTTGCTATGGCGTCTCCTCCTAGGAGGAGAGGATGCTGGGAACAGGGTGGGTGGAGAAAAGTCCCCTGAGGAGGCTGTGGTGGGGTTGGGGGAGGGGAGCAGCTTCTTCCTCCACTGATAGGATTTCTCTCTTGCCATAGGCAGCTTTGGGGGACTGGCTGGAGGGATCAGGAGATCCACCATGTGCTGTGGATTGACCACCATGCCCTGAGATTTACTCCAGAATTCCCCTCTACAAAGCATTATTATTATTATTTGAGATGGTGTTTCCTCTTTTTGCCCAGGCTGGATGGAGTGCAATGGCATGATCTTGGCTCACTGCAACCTCTACCTCCTGGGTTCAAGTGATTCTTTTGCCTTAGCCTCCCAAGTAGCTGGGATTACAGGCATATAGCGCCATGCCTGGCTAATTTGGTATTTTTAGTAGACAGGGTTTCATCATGTTTGCCAGGCTGGTCTTGAACTCCTGACCTCAGGTCATCTGCCTGCCTTGGCCTCTCAAAGTGTTGGGATTACAGGTGTGAGCCACTGCACCTGGCCATTATTATTATTATTATTATTATTATTATTATTATTATTTTGACTGAGTCTAGCTCTGTTGCCCAGGCTGGAGTGCAGTGGCACAATCTCAGCTCACTACAACCTCCACCTCCAGAGTTCAAGTGATTCTCCTGCCTCAGCCTCCTAAGTAGCTGGGATTACAAGCAGGCACCATCACACCTGGCTAATTTTTATATTTTTCGTAGAGACCGGGTTTCACCATGTTGGCCAGGCTGGTCTCCAGCTCCTGATCTCAGGTGATCTACCCGCCTCAGCCTCCCAAAGTGCCAGGATTACAGGTGTGAGCCACCATGCCCGGCCCCATCATCATTTCTTGCTGAGGGGTGAGAGGATCAGGCCAGGTCTGAAAGGGCCTCATTTCCTTAGGAGGCAGTGGGTTTTTGACCTCCACTATCCAGATCCCTTTCCCCAAATCAGGGAAATGTAGCCACGGGGGCCATTTTGACCGGAGCAGCTCCCAGCCACCTCGGGGAGGCATCAACAAGGACAGCACATCCCCAGGCTTCTCTCCTCACCACATGCTGCATCTCCAGGCTGCAAAACTGGCCCTTCTAGCCTCCATCCAGGCCTTCAGCCTTCTTCGAAGCCGCCTGGGAGACAGGGATTTCTCCAGGTGAGTGGCATCCTGGGGATGGACCCCCCCCATGTAAGAAACCAGGTGTGGGGACAAACGTGCAGACCCTTCACTGTGCCTCTGGCCTGCTCCCCAGGCTGCTGGACATCACCCCAGCGTCCAGCCTGAGCTTTGTCCTGGACACCACAGGCAGCATGGGTGAGGAGATCAATGCTGCCAAAATCCAGGCTCGCCACATTGTGGAGCAGCGCAGGGGCAGCCCCATGGAGCCTGTCCACTATGTCCTGGTGCCTTTTCATGACCCAGGTGAGTGTGGTCTGGCTAGGACAGTGGAGGGGAGGAAAATGCAAGGTAGGGGGTAAAGGGCTGTGGTGAGGAAGTGGCCTCGAGGTGGCATTTCCTGTAATGCTGAGTAAGCCTCTACTGTGAGCATACAGAAAATTAGCAGGAGCCTGGCTGGGGTGGCTCATGCCTATAATCCCAGAACTTTGGGAGGTGGAGGTGGGAGGATCCTTTGAGCCTAGGAGTTCAAGACCAACCTGGGCAACATAGACTCAGGCCTCTACAAAAAAATTAATAAAAATTATCTGGGTGTGGTGGCGCATGCCCATAGTCCCATCTACTTGGGAGGCTGAGGCAGGAAGATCACTCCACCCCAGGAAATTGAGGCTGCAGTGAGCCGTGATCGCACTACTGCACTCCAGGGCAGCCTGGGTGACACAGCAAGACCCTGTCTGTAAAAGAAAAGAGTTAGCTAGCAGCCTTTTCTCCCACTGTTTCTTGGAAAATATGGGAGCATTTCCCACATTTCATTTCATGGAAAATGGCAGCACTTTCCATGAGTTTAATGCATAATCCATGCTTCTGCTTTCTTAGGTTTTCATGCTAATAAGCCATTTTCTTTTTTTTTTTAAAGATTGCTACAAAGATGTGTCCAAAATAAGCTATTTTCAATTCTCTTCATTTCCTATAGACTGAGATTGGGGTGAAGATGGGGTTGGTTGGGCCAGGCTTCTGGGAAGCGTCTGAGATAGCTAGCTGCATTATATTCCTTTCCCATTGATTAGAAGTTAGACTATCTGGCTTAAGTCTGTGCATCTTTAGGCTGACCATTTAAACTTTATTTGCCTCCATTTCATCATCCATTAAATGGGTTAGTACCTGCCTCACTCCCAGGGTTGAAATGATCAAATAAAATGTCTGCTGGACTGAGAGTTGCCTAAAGGTAGGGTTGAGTCTTATTTGTCTGCATGCATCCTGCAGTGACTGGCATTTAATAGAGACTTAGTGTGTGTTTAATGAAGGTATAAATAAAGAACTTAGCGCTTCGTATGTGTCAAATCACTAGCCTAAGATTTATAAAATCAACTCATTTAGTTTTCCCAATAAGTCTCTGAGGTAAGTGCTATTATTCTGTCTCTTTTCTGATGAGGAAACTTTTTTTTTTCCTTTGAAATAGAGGGAGAGTCTCACTCTGTCAGCCAGGATGGATTGCAGTGGTATGACCATGGCTCACAGCAGCCCTTGATTCAAGCAATCCTCCTGCCTCAGCCTCCTGAGTAGCTAGGACTATAGGCAAGCACCACCATATCCAGCTAATTTTTGTTATTTTTTTGTATAGATGGGGCCTCACTATGTTACCCAGTCTGAACTCGAACTCCTAGGTTCAAGTGATCCTCCCACCTCAGCTTCCCAAAGTGCTGGGATTATAGGTGTGACCAGTTTGTGTTTGTTTGTTTTTGAGTCTCAGCTCTCTCTCTAGGCTGGAGTGCAGCTGTGTGATCTCAGCTCACTGCAACCTCTGCCTCCTGGGTTCAAGCGATTCTCCTGTCTCAGCCTCCCTAGTAGCTGGGACTACAGGTGCTCACCACCGTGCCCAGCTAATTTTTGTATTTTTAGTAGAGATGGGGTTTCTCCATGTTGGTCAGGATGGTCTCAATCTCTTGACCTCGTCCCACCTCAGCCTCCCAAAGTGCTGGGATTATAGGCATGAGCCACCCTGCCTGGCCCTAGCTGTTGTGTGTGTGTGTTTTTTTATATGCACATGTATCCAATAAAGACCTACAGGAAATGCCACCGTTTTTTTGAGGGAGTGGAGGCCCACCTTCCCACCCACCAGGGACACCTAAGTCTGCCCTGCCCTCCCCGACCCTGCACTGACAATTATGAGTCTTATAATGGAATATTGTATTTTAATGTTTGTCCACTCCAGGAGCACAGCAGGCTTCTTAACTGGGGAGGTGGCTCTTGGTAGGAATGAGGGGAGCTCTTTTCTCACTTATCTTAACCTCCCTTCCCCTTCCCAGGGTTTGGCCCTGTGTTTACAACCAGTGACCCTGACAGCTTCTGGCAACAGCTTAATGAGATCCATGCCTTGGGGGGTGGAGATGAGCCTGAGATGTGCCTGTCAGCCCTACAGGTCTGTCCCCTCCCTTCTTCCCTTCTTATCCCCCCTTTCCTGGCCCCACCACCAGGGGGAGCTAGATCCCTCCCGAGGCTCCCCACCACCTTACCTAGATCCTCTAGCTTCACACCAGGATTCCCCGCTATACCCCCTTTTGCTTCATCCTCCTTGGCTCTGCCCATTCCCCTACTGCTGCCATTGTTAACACTGGCCCTCGCTTTCCCTGCCAGCTGGCCCTGCTGCACACACCGCCACTGTCAGACATCTTTGTCTTCACGGATGCCTCCCCCAAGGATGCCTTTCTCACCAACCAGGTGGAATCCCTGACTCAGGAGCGGCGCTGCCGGGTGAGCAGAGCTGATGAGAGATCCAGTGTTAGCTGCCCAGGGATGGGGGAGACCCTGTGATGACAGCCTCATAATGAGGGTTGCACCACACTATGGTGGCCCAACAAGCCTTGGTGCATGGTGGGAGAAGTGCACAATGAACGGAACATTTCCTGATGCCTTTAATGATACTCACGCACAGGAGGCCCTACCCTTAATAATGCTGAATTTGTGTTTGAACCTGCCCAATAAACAATGTGAAGAACTGGAAATCTAGTCACCAAAAATCCACTGTGACAGTTACAAGGGAGTGGCCAACTACTTTTTTTTGTTTTTGAGATAACATCTCACTCTGTTGTCCAAGCTAGAGTGCCGTGGGGAGATCTTGGCTCACTGCAACCTCCACTTCCCGGGTTCAATTGATTCTCCTGTCTGCCTCAGCCTCCCAAGTAGCTGGGGCTACAAGCATGCACTACCATGCCTGGCTAATTTTTTGTATTTTTAGGAGAGATGGGGTTTCACTATGTTGGCCAGACTTGTCTTGAACTCCTGACCTCGTGATACGCCCGCCTCAGCCTCCCGAAGTGCTGGGATTACAAGTGTTAGCCACTGCACCCGGGCAGTGGTGGCCAACTATTAACTGAAGGCAGGGGGTTATCACTGGGAGACCCCACTCTAGCAGCCCGAAGGCAGGCAGAGACCTTATCACAAGCCATCAACTCTGGAGAAAGCTTGAGCACAGGGATTCTCATTTATAATAACAGATGGCACTTGGACAACTCAATGACTGGGCTCTCTCTTCTGGCCTCAGGTAACATTCCTAGTGACTGAAGACCCATCAAGGGTTCAGGGCCGAGCTCGGCGTGAGGTCTTGTCCCCTCTGCGTTTTGAGCCATACAAAGCAGTGGCCCTTGCCTCGGGAGGAGAGGTGATTTTCACCAAAGACCAGCACATTCAGGACGTGGCAACCATTGTTGGGGAGAGCATGGCTGCCCTGGTGAGTAAGTGGGGGCCAGTGCGCTCACTTAGGAACTGAAGGATGATCAGGTTGCACCTCTCTTCTAATAGGAGAAAGGGGAATCACTGTCACTGCTGTGTTGCTCTTCCAGTCACGGGGCTGGAAAGGAAGTTTCTCTCCCTCTGAGATCCATGGCTAGCCACTGCAGAGAGAGAGAGGGAGAGAGAGTCGGAGGCTCACGCTGTCACCCAGGTTGCAGTGCAGTGGTGTGATCTCGGCTCACTGCATCCTCCACCTCCCAGGTTCAAGGGATTCTCCTGCCTCAGTCTCCCAAGTAGCTGGGATTACAGGCACCCAACACCAGGCCCGGCTAATTTTTGCATTTTTTTAGTAAAGCTGGGGTTTCACCATTTTTTTGGCCAGGCTGGTTTTGAACTCCTGACTTCAAGTGATCCACCCACCTTGGCCTCCCACAATGCTGGGATTACAGGCATGAGCCAGAGTGCCCAGCCTGCATTGTCCTTTCATATCAGTAAACCCCTCCTCACTTGGCCTCCAGTTTTCTGTCCTCAGGGTTACCACAGGAAGTCCTGTGGTAACAGGACTTCTTTTTTTTTTTGGGGGGGGGGGTTGTATTCTGTAGAGACAGGGTCTCACTATGTTGACTAGACTGGTCTTGAACCCCTGGTCTCAAGTGATCCTCCTGTGTTGGTCTCCCAGGTGCTGGGATTACAGGCATGAACCACCACACCTGGCCTGTCATCTTTTAATGGGGTACAAGATGTGATTGTCTAATCCTGACTCCCTCGCCTCCAACTTTGTCACTGACAATAACTTCATCCCTGGCCCTGTGCCCCTCTCTCACTGGTATCCCTTTCACCGTGTGTGACATGGTTTCTTTCTATCTCCCCTTTCTTCTGTATTTGTTCCCACCTGATCCCATACTTCATCATCTCCCCCATTTCCTGGTCCTGCCCATCCCTCAAGGTGACTCTTCCCCTGGACCCTCCTGTTGTGGTGCCTGGGCAGCCACTTGTGTTCACTGTGGATGGGCTGCTCCAGAGGATCACAGTCCGGATCCACGGAGACATCAGCAGCTTCTGGATCAAGAACCCTGCAGGTACCTTTGAAGGCAGAGGGAAGAATGGGGCCTGGGGAATAGACAATCGGGGGAGTGTACTCAGGGAGAGCAAGTGTTTCATGTGACAATTCTTCCCTTACCCCAGGGGTCTCCCAGGGCCAGGAGGAAGGCATGGGTCCTCTAGGTCACACTCGCCGCTTTGGGCAGTTCTGGATGGTGACCATGGATGACCCTCTGCAGACAGGAACCTGGGAGATCCAGGTCACAGCTGAGGGCACCCCCGGGGTTAGAGTGCAAGGTAAGGAGGGAGGTGTTCCTGGGAAGGGGAAGGAGAGACTGCAGGCCTCAGAGAGCACTATCAGTCACACTCCTTTAGGGAAGAGTTCTGACTGCCTTTGCCCTCTCCCAGCCCATACCTCCCTGGACTTCCTCTTCCACTTTGGGATCCCCATGGAGGATGGACCCCACCCTGGCCTCTATCCCCTGACTCAGCCAGTTGCAGGTACATCTATTCCCTGAGCCCCCCTCCCACATAACCCCCAGTTTTTAATATCTCTATATATTTATATATCTATAATGTATATATTTATACATATGCATAATTTTATATTGAGTAATAATTTATGTAATGTGCACTAAAGTGTATAGTTTGATGGATTTCATATAATACGCCCAGTTCAGGATATAGAACATTTCCAACACCCCAGAACTCCCTCCTGATGCTCCCCATTAGTAACCCTCGAAGATGACCTCTTTTCCCCATCCATGCTCCCCAGAGGGAACCCCTATTTTGAAGGCCATTAATTCTTTTCTCCCTGTGTCTCTGAATCTCACAATGTTCTCCCCTCCTTGCCCCTGTCCCAGGTCTTCAGACCCAGCTGCTGGTAGAAGTGACAGGGCTGGGTTCCAGAGTCAATCCCGGGGATCCTCAGCCGCATTTCTCCCATGTCATCCTTCGAGGGGTCCCCGAGGGTGCCGAACTAGGCCAGGTGCCCTTGGAGCCCGTGGGACCCCCAGAGCGAGGTCTCCTCGCAGCCTCGCTGCCGGCCACGCTGCTGTCAACCCCTAGACCCTTCTCCCTGGAGCTGATTGGCCAGGACGGAGTGGGGCGGCGCCTGCACAGGGCTGCCCCTCAGCCTAGCACTGTGGTCCCTGTTCTTCTGGAGGTGAGACGTTAGGGGAAGGTGCGGCTGGCGCTGGAGAAGAGTTGGAGCGGCCCCTTCCCTGATGAGCCCTTCTCTGCAGCTTAGCGGCCCCTCGGGTTTCTTGGCCCCGGGCAGCAAGGTCCCGCTCAGTCTCCGCGTCGCCAGCTTCTGGGGCCCTCAGGATCTTGACCTTAGGACATCCGTCAACCCCAGCTTCCCCCTCACCTCCAACCTCTCCAGGTGAGGCCCCTGAACCCTTCAGCTCCCTCTGGCATCTTGCCCGACCCATGCTTATCCCAAGTCCCGCCCCTGGCCCCTTCCGATTGGCCCTCAGAATCCTGCTCTCCCCTCCCGTGCCCCTACAGGCGTCCTCTGGCTCTGGGCTCTGGCAACCTGGGGCTTCAGCACGACGCCCATGTTCTCTCCTCAGGGCTCACTTGGAACTGAATGAGTCCGCCTGGGGCCGCCTGTGGCTGGAGGTCCCAGACTCAGCGGCCCCAGATTCCGTGGTGATGGTGACTGTGACTGCCGCGGGACGAGAAGCCAGCCCAGTGCCCCCGACTCATGCTTTCCTCCGGCTCCTGGTGCTGGCCCCAGCCCGGCAGGTGAGAGGCACCGCTACTTTCCATCACAGGGTAGGCAAGGCACCGGGAGCGTGATGTAAGTTTAATGTGGGTACAGCTCTAGCACACCCTGTCATTCTCTTCCTCTTCCCTGCAGGACCAGCTCGCTGCCCCTACCCACTCACATGACCCTGTCTTCACCACGGCCACCCCTGCCTTTTGCCCCTTCACATTGGTGACTCAAGGCAGGGCTGGGGCAGGGCTGTCGGGCAGCCTGTGGTGGGGCACAATTGGAGGAGTGCTGCTTCTGCTAGGCCTGGACTCCTGGTGACACAACAGTCTCTACGGGGATGGGTCTCCGGAACTATTTTCAACCTGCCCCATTGGTAAGAAGAAGTGGGACACATTTGCCACATAGGCCTTAGGACCTTACCTCTCCTAGATTTTTTTTTTTGAGACGGAGTCACCATATTGGCCAGGCTGGTCTTGAACTCTGACCTCATGATCCTCCTGCCTCGGCCTCCCAAAGTGCTGGGATTACAGACGTGAGCCATTGTGCCTGACCAGCCACCATGCCTGGCCTCTTTTCTTTTCTTTTTCCTTCCTTTTTTTTTGAGACGGAGTTTCACTGTTGTTACCCAGGCTGGAGTGCAATGGCATGATCTCAGCTCACCGCAACCTCCGTCTCCTCGGTTCAAGCAATTCTCCTGCCTCAGCCTCCCGAGTAGCTGGGACTACAGGCACGCGCCACCATGCCCAGCTAATTTTCGTATTTTTAGTAGAGACAGGGTTTCACCATGTTGACCAGGATGGTCTCGATCTCTTGACCTTGTGATCCACCGCCTCCCAAAGTGCTGGGATGATAGGCGTGAGCCACCGCACCCGGACCCTTTCTTTCTCTTTATTTTCTTTCTCTTCCTCTCTTCCTTCCTTCCTTTCTTTTCTCTCTCTCTCTCCCTCCCTTCCTTCCTTTTCTTGAGACAGAGTTTTGTTCATGTCGCTCAAGCTGGAGTGGAATGGCACAATCTAGGCTCACTGCAGCCTTCACCTCCTGGGTTCAAGCGATTCTCCTGCCTCAGCTTCCCCAGTAGCTGGGATCACAGGTGCCCACCACTATGTCCAGCTACTTTTTTGTATTTTTAGTAAGAGACAGGGTTTCACCATGTTGGCCAGGCTGGCTGGTCTTGAACCCCTGACCTCATATGATCCACCTGACTTGGTTTCCCAAAGAGCTGAGATTGCAGGTGTGAGCCACCACACCTAGCCAATGAAGGTTTTTTTTTTTTTCTCCACATCCCTTTCCTTTCTTAAAAACTGCAAGACTGGGGCTGAATGCAGTGGCTCACGTCTGTAATCCCAGTACTCTGGGAGGCTGAGGCAGGAGGATAGCTTGATTCCAGGAGGTCGAGGCTGCAGTAAACTGTGGTCGCATCACTGCAGTACAGCCTGGGCAACAGTGAGATCCTATCTCGGAAACAAAACAAAACAGAAAACCCTGCAAGACTGGGATATATGGCAATGGATTTTCCCACAGTGCACTTTTCCTAACCCTATGAGAAACAAACAAAGACATTTTTGGAGAAAGTTGCTTTCTGGAGCAGCTTCGGTTTTATTTTTGTATTTAAGGCTGAAGGACAGTTTCAATAAACATATCGGCCAGGTGCGGTGGCTCAAGCCTGTAATCCCAGCACTTTGGGAGGCCAAGGCGGGTGGATCACGAGGTCAAGAGATCAAGACCATCCTGGTCAAATTGGTGAAACCCCGTCTCTACTAAAGATACAAAAAATTAGCTGGGCATGGTGGCGCGTGCCTGTAATCCCAGCTACTCAGGAGGCTGGGAGGCAGGAGAATTGCCTGAACCCAGGAGGCGGAGGTTGCGGTGAGCCGAGATCGTGCCTTTGCACTCCAGCCTGGGTAACAAGAGTGAAACTCCGTCTCAAAAAACAAACAAACAGACAAACAAAAAACATACCTTCTCCCCAGAGGGATTTCAAAGAAAGACCATTTTTGCATTTCATATAGGGGAGAATGAGGACATGTGACACCAAGAAGATGAAAGAAAGTTTTCAGGAGTAGAGGAGACACTTTACACCAAGATGTCTGAACTTTATTGACTTACTACTGGAGCCATTTTTTAGCTGTTAAGAAGCGGAATAAGGAGCCTGGGGCTTCTGACTCTTTCACCAGACTTAGGGGAGTGAGAGGAAGGTTTAGACATGGGTAGGGCCTCTTGGCCCCTTAGGGCAGCCCCACTGAGCCATCTCCTCCTTTGGCTGGGTGACTCCTTTCTGCTGCCTTGACAACTCCTGGAGGAGAGGAGAAACAGACAGGGCCTCTGGGATCCTCCCTGCCCTGTAGGGTGTGGCTCCTGCCCTCTCCCTTGAAGTTTACCTGTTGCTGCCACAAGTTCGGCTTCCTTGGTCTTTCCTTTGAATCCTGGGTGGTGCAGGAACTAGCCTTGTTCAGTGTACTTGGGGAGAACTGGAGGGGAAATTTGCTGTGTTTTCTGTTAAGCCAGCACTGACCCCAACAACTCCCCTCTCTAGTCCCACTTCCCAAAAGTCTAAACTGAAAACAATAAACTCACCTTCTCCTGAATCAGATTCTGCAAACAGATGTTCACCTTTTGAATCTGGGCTAACTGGGGGCCACCAGGTTCTGGGTGTAAATCTGTCAGAAAATTCTAGAGGAGGAGTTGAAGGCTGACAACATGGTGAAAACCTGAGGTCCATCTGCCACTCTATTCCTGTCACCACAGGCCATCCGTCTCCTCATCTGGATCCCCTCATCCCAGTACCCTCCCAGGCAGGTGGGAAAATCCAATACTCGCACCTCCATCTCTTTAGAGCTGATGTCAGTTCCTTTACCCACTCAAATAGCACAATAACCCCTTTCACTACTCTTCATGGAGCCTCCCTGTCCATCCCTGCCCCATTGGAATAATCCAGGCCACGCCCTCATCTCCATGGAGTGATCCAAATCCCTCTGAATGGAATGCAGACCAGCTTCCTCCAGCCCCAACAATGAGCACCAACTTAACACTTGGTGGCATCCTGTCATTATGATGCTGCCTCCAACTCATGATCTCTGACCATTAACTCTCCCCTCTCCAGAGTGGTCTCAGGCTGTGTCTATACATTCCGTGCTCCTCCCTCCCTGGCCCTCCCCCAATTCACACAGAGGGGCAGCCCCCTTACCTCACCGAGGGCCCCCAGATGTAGCTGCTGTCGATGTGCCTCCCTCAGACGGTCTTCAAACCAGGTCTGGCCATGCTTTAGCAGCTCCAGCCCCTGCCACAGGGCATCCTGTTCTCTCTCCAGAGCCTGCATCCTCCGCAGCTTGGAAGGCAAACACAGAGGCTGACTCTTGTGCTACAGCAGGGCTCTGGGTCATGGTCCTTCCTCTCTACCCCTGTTTGGGTTCACTGTGTGGTCACTGAGTGTGAGCCCAGACTGGCTACTGAGGACCTGAAGGGCAAGAGGAGGCAGACGAGAACACTGTGGGCCCTCAAGTTGAGTGGAAATATAAAGGGCAGATCTATGGAGAAAGACTTCCCCTGGGACCTCTTGCTGGGCTGATACTCACCCAAAGGAAGAAGCTCTGGGCCCCTGGGTCTTGGCGGCTTGTCCCCAGCGGCAGCAACAGGACCGTGTAGGGAGCCTGCACCGAGGGCAGCCCACCAGGGCCCTGGCTCCCCATGGCTCTGAGGTGGGAACAGTGGAGCCACTCCCACTGGTGTAGCCTGGACTGTCCCTCCCCTCCATCCCTGCCTTGCACCCATCCTGCTTCTGTCAGCCTCTCAGGCCCCTTCCTGCTGTGTCCTGTCTGAGGCTGGGTGTTCCCACTTGAGAAGAGAGACCATCTCCCATGGGCCCCTTTGTCTTCCCTCTAATCTGTTTTTGTAGGGCCTCTGTGAAGTGGTTCGTTCTCATGAAGTCTCCTTGGGTAGAATCCGAGGGTCTTCCTACAGCAATGACACTACTTTCACTGAGGCAGGAGGGCAGGTTCCCCTGTGGATTCCTGCTCTGTGTTTCAGCTCTTTCCTAGTCTCTTTGTTTTGGCTGGCCTAAAGAAACAATACCTTTCTCCAAAATAAACTTTATTCCTGATATGAAACAAAATTTCCAGAGAAACTAAAAATTCTGGGTCTGAAGGAGATAAGAAAACAAAGAGGGCATGGCAGCCCACTGGGGTCTCAGGAGGCTGAGAAGGGCACAGGAGGGACTCTCAGAGGATGCTGGTGGCAGCAGGCAGCACTTCCTGGCTCATGAAAACGTTCAAGTCCAGGTTAGGATCTTCCAAATCCAGTTTCATAAACTTATCCACTAATGTCTGGCAACTGAAGAAAGAGAAAAAGCGAGATTTATGGGAGAATGGACAACTAAGTCCCTGGGCAGAGGGGAGAGGCTGTGGCACAGAAAACCTGGGATCTTGAAGATTTAGGGATTTCAGAAAGAAATGATGTGTTTCTGAAGAGCAAAGTGCTGGAGGAAAGATGAGTCCCTGAAAAGGGGAGAAGAGCCATAGGAGAAGATGCAGAGAGTGAAGACACTGGGGCCACGCACTCACTTTTCCATTTGGTTCTTTTTTAGCAAATCCTTGACAGGCTTGATGGGTTTTCCACTTCGGATCAAGTCTGAGACCTAGGAACAGCAAGCAACAAGGTTGGAGAGCTGAGGGGAGTTGGGGAAGAGAAGGGGAAATAAGAGTCAGAAATTCTGTGGACCTAGACCCAGGCCCAACAGGAGTAGGAATGGAAGGGAGCTCTGAGGTGCAGGTGGTTGTGCATTTGGATCTCATCACCTCCTTGCCACGAGCCACGAGTCTGTTGGGAAGCCCAGCCTGGACAGCCGTGTGGGAAGCATGGCTTGCCTTCGCCACACCTTCGCAAACCTGATAGAAGAAGACCAGGTCGTTGCCATCCTCACAGGTCTCCATGGTCTTAAAAGAGAATAAAAGACAGTGTATTGTCAATCACCTCCTTCCTGTCCTGAAACCTTTGGCCAATCCCTGTGGGGAGGGAGAAAAGGGAAGGGATGTGGCCTCTGTACTGAAGGAGCCCTTGTTCTGATAGAGGAGCCGTCTCCACCGCTGGGAAATGCAGAGCCTAGGGGCCCCCGAGGGGCTAGATTGGTCTCCTCACCAAATACTGCACCAGGGGCCCTTGTGGCAGCAGCTGTAGCTGAACAAGGCTCAGAAAGTTGGTGGCCACAAAGATGTGGGGGCATGTGCGTCCAAGTGCCAGCCAGTGTCGGAGCACAGCGGCCAGAAGTGCAAGCCCATCCACCTGCAAAGAAGGCAGAGATTAGGGTTCAGAGCCATGGGGATCCCATGTATCCCCCTGGCCTTTCCCTATCTTATGTTCGGTTTCTTTTCTGCCCACACAGCCCTATTTTATTCCAGAGGTCCAGCCTCACTCTCATGCTCCTTCATCCTCCTCTGTTTTCCCCTCCTTAGTTTCTCCCCTCACCGTGTTGGTTCCCTTTCCGAATTCATCAATGAGGACCAGCGACTGTGCAGTGGCATTGTTCACTGCTTTCGCCACCTGCTGGGCGTAAGGTGGAAAAGGGAAAGTTAGTACTGGAGGCCTGTAATGCACTGACCACAGTTGACCTATGAATAAAGATGTATATACGACACCCCCACTGCACTGCAAGTTCTAGAATGGTGAGGTGCATGCTTTGTTCATCCTCTCGTTGCCAACAGTGACTCACACGAAGCAAGCATTGTGTTGGGAGGCAGAGGTGGGCGGATCACCTGAGGTCAGGAGTTCAAGACCAGCCTGGCCAACATGGTGAAACCCCATATTTAATATTTAAAATAAAAAAAAGAAATAAAAAAATAAAAATAAGAAATATTTGTGGTATTGATTCTTTCTGTCTCTGACCCTAGTGCTTCCCACCTTTAATAGTGCTTCCCACCTTTAGTATAGAGGGCATGCAGCAGCGAGCATGCTTTCCTGTTCTGAGCATTTTCAGGGGTTCCTTCCCATTACCGCTCCCTCAATCCCACCTCCCTTTGCTCCCTTTGACCTGGTTGAGGTCGATCATGAAGGTGGAGAGGCCAAGGGAGATGGATTCACAGCTATGAATTCGCGTGAAGATGGCATCTACTGCTCCAATTTCGGCCTCCTCTGCTGGCACAAAGCTGCCTACCAGGGCCATGAATACGATCAAGCCTACCTGAATGGGGAAGGAGACAGGGCCTGGGGCCTGGTGCTATGGGCTGAGGTGAAAGAGAGGCTCAAGGCATGAATGACAGATCAAAGAGAGAGAGAGTGAAACAGGAGAAAAAGGTAAAGAATACACTGACTGTCTCTCCTCCCCCAATCCTGATCATAGCCCCATTGGCTAATTTAGGATCAGTAAAGAGGCATGGGACATGGGCAGAGACATACTTGGAAGTGGTGTGTACATACTCAGAGGCGGGTGGAGGAATTTGAGCCATGGAAAGTTCCATTAGAGCATGGCTTTCTAATAGAGAATGAGAACATGTGAGATGGAAGCACATGGTCCTTTCATGAAGGGCGGGGTCAGAAAATGGGGGAAAAGAGCTGCAGGAGCCTGGGTTGGGTGGCAAATAGGGGTGGAGAAGATGCAGAAGATGCCAGAGGCTCAGGCTGTAGGGCTTCTCCTCACCTGTTTGAGGTATATGCTCTTCCCTGATGAGTTGGGTCCAGTGATGACTTTGACTCTTCCTTTGTCCCCACCACATTCTGTGGAGTTGGGCACAAAGGTTCGGGCACAGAGTTCCATCAGAGGATGTCTGCAGTGGGTGGAGAGGCACCTCACATAGCTTGTGGATCCAAATGGATGAACCCCCAGAAGATGGAGCCTTTGGACCCCTCATGTTTATTCTTCCACCTCTATTCTTACCTGCCATTCTGGATTCGTACCCCAAGGACTTGTGGGGAGTAACGGGGCCTTGAGTAGCCATAGTCCCGGGCAGCACTGGCAAGAGCCAGCAGGACGTCCAGGCGGGAGGCAAGGTCTAATACTCGGGTTAAGACAGCTGCTCGTGCTAGCACCTGGCACTGCAACTGGTACATCAGCAGCGTCTCCTGGTCTGAGAGGGGGTGAGGGAGGGAGCTGGAGGTCAGCTCCAGGGGAAAGTGAAGGAGAGGCAGAGGCCCCTAGAGGGATCTGGAAACAGGTATGCAGATAAAATCTGAGACCTGAAGACATTCAGAGGAAAAGACACAGAGTCAGAGTGAGAGAGACAGAGTAGGAAGAGAAGGGGCCTGTTGGAAACATTCCCAAGTTGCCCACTCTCCTCCTGCCCCTGGCTGCTGCTTTTTTAAAAACATCTTACAATGCACATAACCTCTGGCTCCTCCTCACCCCGGATCTCGCAGTGCAGGTCCCCCAGCAATGCATCCAGCTCCTTGGTTCGGGCACTACGATAGTGAAGCTTCTCCTCTGAGAGAAACTGGGTACAGGGGTTCAAAACTGTGGGCTTTGCATCTCTTGGTCCTCCTCCTCTTCCTCACCTTCCTAACCTCACCTCCAGCCCCTAACCCTGACTTCTCTTTCCTTTGCCTCAGTGCTGGTAAAGCTCAGAGTAAAACTACAGAGGAGAGAGCCCATACTGGGCAGTGCTGCTATGGGGTAAGGCCCTTCCTCAGCTGCTGACTCATTTTCCTCATCACTCACCTACAAAGGTTGAGGGTCTTACCATGAAGTCCAGTCCGTCAATCTCAAAGTCACTGGCCTCTACCATGGAAGACAGGCGAGGAATACAAAGAAGGAAGCCGATCTGGGGAGAGTAAAGAGGAGATACCCTACTCTCCTGCTTGGAGACTTACTGGACACCTCCTCTCCCTAGAGGAAGCTTAAGAGATCACTGTATCCCCACAAAAAGGTATTCATGTTCTTCAGGCTGCCCCATAAGTTTTCTTATCTACCAGTGTGTCTTTCATAAGCCTATCTCCCCCAAAAGACCTCTGAAGGCTACACCCACTCTCCTACCCTCACCAGAGGGATATAGATGACACTGCATGAAGGAATACGGGAGTCCAGATTCTCCAGCTCCTTGCGGGCAACCTCAGTGAGGAAATTGGGAAGTCCCATCAATCTTCGTTTTTCTACGAGGGTGGAAGACATGTGGTTATCAAAAGTGAGGCTCCTGCCCTGGTTTCTATGAAGATCCCCAGCTGTGGTGACCACCTGCCAAGGATGGTAGTCCGTCCCTGCGCAGGGCTCAAAGGCCCATCCGCACCCAACACTCACTCTCATCAATTTCAGGATCTATGTTGGGGAGCACTGTGAAGCGATTTTCAGCAAGACTGCCCTCAAAGTCTACCTGAGGAGGTAAGAAGTACTGATTCTTAGCACCCGGTACCCTCTCTGTCCTGTTCCTCAGCTCTCCTTGGGCCCCAATTCTCCCTGCAGTCCTGCTTTAACTCTCACCCTCCAGCTACTTCCCTGAATTTCTGCCACCTCCTCTCACCATCCTATTCTTTAACTACCCAACTGACTTCAATAACTCCCATGCTTCCCCATCTCGCACACTGCATTCCCTGGGCTCCAGTCCCTCTCCTTTCTCTCCCTGACCTCCCTGGGTGCACTCGCTCTTTCCATCCACTCACTACTTTCCCAATGAGGCTGGCGATGTGGTGCAGGTCATCAGAGAACTCTTGAGCAATGTCCCGAAAGAGCTGGATGGACTGCGGCAGGGAGCAGCAGGCATCCCTCAGGCCCAAGGCACTGTACACCGTCTGTGAGAGAAACACAACAAGGAGGGCAGCCCATATGCAGCTTGGGCTGAGGTGAGGGTAGGGACAAACTCAGAAGAACAAAGACCAGCAGAGAAGATCACAAGAACAAAGCCGGAAGATCTCAAAGGCAAAAAGAAACAGTGAGACAGAAAATGGCATCTGTAAAATTCGATGCCAGGCAGTGTACTAAACCCTGCAGCTACAAAGACAATTAAAATATGGTCCTGGCCAGGCACGGTGGCTCACACCTGTAATCCCAACACTTTGAGAGGCCAAGGTGGGAGGATCACCTGAGGTCAGGAGTTTGAGACCAGCCTGGCCAATGTGGCAAAACCCCATCTCTACTACAAATACAAAATCAGCCGGGCATGGTGGCATATGCCTGCAATCCCAGCTACTCAGGAGGCTGAGGCAGGAGAATCACTTGAACCCAGGAGGTGGATGTTGCAGTGAGTCAAGATTGTGCCATTGCACTCCAGCCTGGGCAGCAAGAGTGTAACTCCAACTCAAAGTAAATAAAATAATTAATAAAAAATGAAAAAATTAAATAGATGGACCAGGTTACAGAACTAAATACACACATACAGACATATATATATATATATATGCATTTATTTATTTATTTATTTTTATTTTTTTAGATGGAGTTTTGCTCTTGTTGCCCAGGCTGGAGTGCAATGGCATGACCTCGGCTCACTGCAACCTCTGCCTCTCAGGTTCCAGCGATTCTCCTACCTCAGCCTCCCAAGTAGCTGGGATTATAGGCATGTGCCACCACACCCAGCTAATTTTTTTGTATTTTTTGTAGAGACAGGGGTTACTCTATGTTGGTCAGTCTGGTCTCAAACACTCGACCTCAGGTGATCTGCCTGCCTTAGCCTCCCAAAGCGCTGGGATTATAGGCATGAGGCACCGCGCCTGGCCAGAACTAACTAAAATTACCAAGGAAGTTCAGAGAGTAAGACTAAAACAGAATAAGATAGTTTGAGATGTCTTTGCAGAGAAAAGGAAATAAGGTGGATCTTAAGGCTATTCAAAAGGCAGGCAGGCAGGCATTGTATATGAGTGAGAGCATAGGCTAATAAGTAGAGGTAGGAATAAGAGCTAATTTTTTTTTTAAAGACAGAGTTTTGCTCTCCCAGGCTGGAGTGCAATGGTGCCATCTCAGCTCACTACAACCTCTGCCTTTTGGGTTTAAGCTATTCTCCTGCCTCAGCCTCTGGAGTAGCTGGTACTACAGGTGTGCACCACCATGCCCAGCTAATATTTGTATTTTTAGTAAAGATGGGGTTTCACCATGTTGGCCAGGATGGTCTCAATCTCTTGACCTCATGATCCACCCACCTCGGCCTCCCAAAGTGCTGGGATTACAGACGTGAACCACCGCACCTGGCCAAGAGCTAATATATACTGACTGTTTGCAACATGCCAGGCAATGTTCTAACAATTTACGTATGTTAATTTCATTCACTCCTCAAAATGCTCCTATGAGGTAGGTACAAGCATTACCTCCATTTTACAGAGGAGCGATCTGAAGCCCAAAGAGATGATGTAATTTTTTCAGGGTCTCACGGTGAGTAAAGAGAAGAGCTGGGATTTGAACTCGGGTGTCTGGCTTTTAACCACTGTACCATTCTGAGTAGGGACACAGTGGGTATTCTAAGCAGAGTAATTAATGCAAAGCCTGCTGTGGCTGAAGCAGAGCATAAATTTTAACAAGTGATAAGGGGAGATATAAACAGTCATATGTATCTGCTCATATTTCTAAAAATGGTAATTTCTAGCCAGGCATGGTAGCTCATGCCTGTAATCCCAGTACTTTGGGAGGCTGAGGCAGGCAGATCACTTAAGGTCAGGAGGTCGAGACCAGTCTGTCCAACATGGTGAAACCTGTCTCTACTAAAAATATATAAACTAGCCCGGTATAGTGGCATATGCCTGTCATCCCAGCTACTTGGAAGGCTGAAGCAGGAGAATCGCTTGAACCTGAGAAGCGGAGGTTACAGTGAGCCGAGATCGTGCAACTGCACTCCAGCCTGCGCAACAGAGACTCCATTTCAAAAAAAAAAGGAAATTATGTGTCAGGTATATACTGCAGATAATGAAACCAGGTTTCTCACTGTCATAGAAAGAAGTTACAAATGAGGAAAGGAAGAAACCTAGAGTAAACTCTGTGGCATTTGACTGGAATCAGAGGTGTCATGATGAACTCATGGGTTATATAGATAGGTACAGGAATACAGACATGTATGCATGGGTATACATACACATATTTCCTAATTCTGTCTGTGAAGAGAACCTAAAAGAAGTGTTTTTTTTTTGACAGAGTCTCAAAGTTTTTTTTGACTTGATTTTTTTGACAGAGTCTCACTCTGTCACCCAGTCAGGAGTGCAGTGGCACTATCTCAGCTCACAGCAACCTCTGCCTCCCAGGTACAAGCTGTCTTACTGTCTCAGTCTCCTGAGTAGCTGGGACTACAAGTATGCATCACCATAGCCAGCTAACTTCGGTGATTATTATTATTTTGAGATGGAGTCTCGCTCTGTTGCCCAGCTGGAGTGCAGTGGCACAATCTTGGCTCACTGCAACCTCTACCTCCTGAGTTCAAGCGATTCTCCTGTCTCAGCCTCCCAAATAGCTGGGACTACAAGTACATACCACCACATCCAGCTAATTTTTCATATTTTTAGTAGAGATGGGGTTTCACCACATTAGCTAGGATGGTCTCAATCTCCTAACTTCATGATCTGCCCATCTCGGCCTCCAAGAGTGCTGGGATAACAGGCGTGAGCCACCACTCCCAGCTAAACTTTGGTATTTTTTGATAGAGATGGAGTTTCACTATGTTATCAAGGCAGGTTTCTAACTTCTGGGCTCAAGCAATCCTCCCACCTCAGCCTCCCAAAGTGCTGGGATTACAGGCATGAACCACCACACTTGGCCCAGATCATGGTTCTAATACCATTCTCCAAAAAGTAACAAGGCTCCTTGGAGAAACTGATTCCAGGGCTGGTGCAAGGAAAATACAAGATGAGTCTGGAGTAAAAAACTAAAAAAGGAAATGCTCAAAATAAGAACAAAATAAAATAAAGGCTGAGCACAGTGGCTGACACCTATAATCCCAGCACTTTGGGAGGCTGAGGCAGGCAGATCACAAGGTCAGGAGTTCGAGACCAGACTGGCCAATATGGTGAAACACTGTCACTACTAAAAATACAAAAATTAGCCAGGCGTGGTGGTGGGCACCTGTAGTCCCAGCTACTCAGGAGGCTGAGGCAGGAGAATCAGTTGAACCCAGAAGGTGGAGGTTGCAGTAAGCAGAGATAGTGCTACTGTACTGCAACTCCAGCCTGGCGACAGAGTGAGTGAACCAACCTGGGTGACATGGTGATCCCCATCTCTATAAAAGGCCGAGCGCCATGGCTCACACCTGTAATCCCAGTACTTTGGGAAGCCAATGAGGGCAATCATGAGGTCAAGAGATCGAGATCATCCTGGACAACATGGTGAAACTCCCATCTCTACTAAAGTTACAAAAATTAGCTGGGCGTAGTGGTGCACACCTGTAGTCCCAGCTACTCAGGAGGCTGAAGCAGGAGAATCACTGAACCCCAGAGGCAGACGTTGCGGTGAGCCAAGATCGAGCCACTGCCCTTCAGCCTGAGCGACTGAGCAAGACTTTGGTGGCTCAAACCTGTAATCCCAGCACTTTGGGAGGCCAAGGCAGGTGGATCACCTGAGAGCAGGGGTTCGAGACCAGCCTGACCAATATGGAGAAACCCTATCTCTACTAAAAATACAAAATTAGCCCAGTGAGGTGGAGCAGGCCTGTAATCTCAGCTACTTAGGAGGCTGAGGCAGGAGAATTGCTTGAACCCGGGAGACAGACGTTGCAGTGAGCCAAGATCATACCAGTATACTCCAGTCTGGGTGACAGAGCAAGACTCTGGCTCAAAAAAAAAAAAAAAGAGGGTGGAAGAAAATTGGACAGCATGTCTAGGGTATAGACAATCTGAAACACAGGCTGAGGGGCTTTACCTGAACTTCTGGGATTCAAGAAGGAAAGCCTTACCTTGTAGAGAACCTGCCAGTCGCTGACCTTGGTGTGGGACAACTTCATGCGTTTCAGAATCAGCTACAGTCAGACAAGATTACAGCTACTGTTTTCCCTACCCTCACTCTAATGACCCTCAAGAAGCCCAACACCCAGTTTCAGCCTTCAACCTCCTTCCCCACCTCCCTGCCCTCCACCTTGGGCTCACAGGAACGTTCTTGATATGACCCAGGAGTCGATGCAGCATCTGAGCCATGTCCAGATTCTGGGGCAGCAGGAAAAACTGAATGACGTCCAGACGAGAATTGAGTTCCCCCAGGTCATGAGTTGGACGCGTGAACCACAGCCTGGAAGTGAAGGTTAGGGTGGGGTACTAGAAATTACACCTGTTCTCATCATCTTGATCTAAAGTTGCCAAAAAGTGTGTTGCAGTCCCTGGGGATCGTGGCAATATGTATCCACAATGTGCTATGGGAATGTAGTGGCAAGTGCAGTGTCCTATCCATGCAGGTGTGTTTACATGTATCCACTGAAAATTACTAGACGTGACCATAATTGTGTCTACATATCACAGTTTCAGTGGATAAGACCGTGTGTCATTCCATGTGGATATGGAATGAAGCTTGTCAATATTTTAGGAAAGCAGTGTGTTGAGGTATTTGTGTGCCAACGCTGCAGCTCGCTCTGCGGCTAAGGGACGGTGAGTCAGTATGAGTTTGCATGTCTCTATTTAGCTGTGAAAGTGTCTCTGGGTAACAGCAACAAATATTCATCTTTTCGTATTCTTCCTGTGAAAACATAACTTGTCCCATTAGGAATGATAAGCCTTTCATTCATAACAATGGTCAACTTTGCAGAGAAAAAAGGTTTGGGGAGGGATATTTAAGGGGCTTCAACAATCATGTCTTATTCTTTTTTTTTTTTTTTTTTTTCAGATGGAGGCTCGCCGTGTTGCCAGGCTGGAGTGCAGTGGTACGATCTCGGCTCACTGCAACCTCTGCCTCCTGGGTTCAAGCGATTCTCCTGCTTCAGCCTCTTGAGTAGCTGGGACTACAGGTGTGTGCCACCATGCCCAGCTAATTTTTGTATTTTTAGTAGAAATGGGGCTTCACCATGTTCGCCAGGATTGTCTTGATCTCTTGACCTCCCAAAGTGTTGGGATTACAGGCGTGAGCCACCATGCCCAGCCTAGTGTCTTATTCTTAAATTGGCTGATGGACACAATAGACATTTGTATTATTATTATTTTCTTTGAGATGGAGACTCACTCTGTTGCCCAGGCTAGAGTACAGTGGCACAATCTTGGCTCACTGCAACCTCTGCCTCCCAGGTTCAAGTGATTCTCGTGTCTCAGCCTCCTGAGTAGCTGGGATTACAAGGGTGTGCCACCATGCCTGGCTAATTTTTGTATTTTTAGTAGAGATGAGGTTTCACCATGTTGGCCAGGCTGGTCTTGAACTCTGAACCTCAGGTGATCCACCTTCCCCCGCCTCCCAAAGTGCTGGGATTATAGGCATGAGCCACCATGCCGGGCTAATTATTTACATCTTTTTGTGTGTTGGAGATATTTCCAAATAAATTAAAATAAATTCATATACAGAAATAAATGTCATCTATTTTTGTCTGATTCTGTGTTTGTCTAATTCTAGGTAACCCTGTCTCCTTATTGGCTATGAAGAGTGTGAGACTCTGTAAGGACTTGTGAGCCTACAGATATTTTTCTAGATAGAGCAAGCAACTAAGCTTGCCATTTTATATAAGAGCCAACATGTGCACACACTAGGGCCTGAAGATTTGCTTCTTACATTGTAGTCTATGGCCAGTTACTTTGGGTTAGAACACTCCAGATTAGAGTGAAGCAGATCATCCAGTGGCTTCAAGGGTGGGTTTCAGGTTCCTCTGCTCCTTGGTTATTGAGGGCTCCCGCCAGGCAGTGTAAGCCAGTCTGTAAATACCCATCCCCACCTTAGAAGGCACATGAGCTACACTAAACATTTAGATATCTCTGACTCATGTCCTGCTAGTACTGGGAAAGACTTCAGTTAAGCCAAACTTCCTAATTTTACAACTGCAAAAATGAGGCCCTTAAAAGATAAGTAACTTGCCCAAAGTCATACTGCTAATGAGAACAGCTAAGTCTCAAAATCAGGTCTCTAGACTGCTAGGACAGTGCTCTTTAGAGCATATTGTGACATTCAGTCACATTCTTTGTGGCCTGTCTAGCTTTTAGTTTTTGAACTCCTGGCCTCAAGCAATCCTTCTGCCTCAGCCTCCCAAAGTGCTGGGATTACAGGTGTGAGCCACCACATCTGGCCCTCTATTATTATTATTTACATCTTTTTGTGCGTTAGAGGTATTTCCTAATAAATTAAATTTATACACAGAAATATTAATAAATGTGTAATCTCTCCTTAGTTTATTAGATTATATGATGATTCTTCAAAATTTTTTTTTCTTTTTTTGAGGCTGGAGTGCAATGGTGCCATCTCGGCTCGCCGCAACCTCCACCTCCTGGGTTCAGGCAATTCTCCTGCCTCAGCCTACTGAGTAGCTGGGATTACAGGCACACGCCACCATGCTCAGCTAATTTTTTGCATTTTTAGTAGAGACGGGGTTTCGCCATGTTGACCAGGATGGTCTAGATCTCTTGATCTTGTGATCCACCCACCTCGGCCTCCCAAAGTGCTGGGATTACAGGCTTGAGCCACCGCGCCCGGTGATTCTTCAAGTTATATGATCTCATGCCCTGTCTGATTCCATCTAGGGAATATGCACTCCTCCCCCACCTTAAATCCAGTGCTCTTCTCCACTGAGAATTCTCTCCCTCCCGTCTGTGGTTGAGATTAGAGATCTGCACCTGAAGCCCCAGAGAATGTGTGGGTAATTAAATTACCCTGCTGATTACCTGGAGATGCTGATTACCTGATTACCCTGCTGATTACCTAGAGATGACCTCAGAGATTATCCTAAATTAACCCCTACAAGATACACATTGCAGGGGGAGGTGAGGTAGGGAAAGAATTGTGCACCTGAGGCTAGCAAAGGTTTCCACTCTGAGTGTTCAGAGATGATGTTACCGGTGTGTTTTCATTTGTGTATTGTGTTCACACATTGAGTGCTACAATATACAAGACCATGTGTCAGACACTGAGGTAACAGGAATGGTCACTAGACAGAGTTCATAGCTATGGAGGCAAGAAGATTCACTGACTGCTAATTCTAACCTGATGTGACAGTGCAACTAGAAAAACATAAGCAAGCATTATGTGAGCACAAGAAAGGTGCATATCAACTCCTTACAGGTACCTGTAAAAGCCAGAGGGTAACAGTTGGGTTGCACCTTGAAGAGGATGCAAGTTTTTTTGTCTTTAGACAGAGTCTCACTCTGTTGCCCAGGCTAGAGTGCAGTGGGGCAATCAGGGTTCACTGCAACCTCCGCCTCCTGGGTTCAAGCGATTCTCCTAACTCAGCCTCTTAAGTAGCTGAGACTAGAAGCAAGTGCCACAACACTCAGCTAATTTCTGTATTTTCAGTAGAGATGGAGTTTCACCATGTTGGCCAGGCTTGTCTCGATCTCCTGACCTCAAATGATCTGCCGGCTTCAGCCTCCCAAAATGCTGGGACTATAGGCGTGAGCCACCACACCCGGCCTGGATGTAAAATTCTGATAGGTAGAGAACAAGTAAAAGACTTTCCAGAAGGAACAGGATAAACACAGGCATGACATGTTTCCATAAGGGCAACTGGCCCTAAATGACTAGAATATAAGTTAGATCCAGTAGGAAAGGACTTAGAAGGGGCTTGGGAAGGTGAGCCTAGAAATTAAAATTGGAGTAAATGTGATGACCCTGAATACCATATACTGCTAAAGATGCTAATCTTCATCCTGAAGGTAATGGAAAAACTTCCTGAGGTTTGTTATTTTCTTTCTACTTATGCTATTTGAAAAGTGGAGTGACAGCCAGGTTCACGCCTGTAATCCCAGCACTTTGGGAGGCCAAGGCGGGCAGACTGCCAGAGGTCAGGAGTTCAAGACCAGCTTGACCAATGTGGCAAACCTCGTCTTTAATAAAAATACAAAAATTAGCTGGGCATGGTGGTGGGTGCCTGTAATCCCAACTACTCAGGAGGCTGAGGCAGGAGAATGGCTTGAACCCAGGAGGTGGAGGTTGCAGTAAGCCCAGATTTCATCACTGTACTCCAGCCTGGATGACAATAAGATTCCATCTCAGAAAAACACCCCCTCCCCCCAAAAATGTGGAGTGACATACTTAGATCTCTGTTTTGGAATGACAGGTTTTTTCTTTCTAACTCACATGAACTGACAGAATGATAGGTATTTTAGAATGAAAAGGGTGGATTGGAAAAAGAAGAGACTGGGGCAGAGACACTAATTTTTAGGCAAAAGCAATGCTCAACGTTAAAAATGATGATGACCAGAATTAGAGCAGTGGAAAGAGACAGAGATAGTTGGGGGGAGACATTTCAGGATAGAATCAATAGGGCTTAGTGAATAGTTGAATATAATAGATGAGGGAGAAGCATCAGTCCAAGGTTCATGACTTGAGAAGGTGTACTGCCAGCAATGCCATTAACCAGCAAAGGGAATGCAGGAAGAGGAACAGATCTGGTGGGCATCAGTTTGGATGCTCTGAGTTTGAGCTGCCTGTGAAAACTGCAGGTGGTGATATGCAATTAACATTCACATATGGAGTTCAAAACTAGAGACGCAAATTTGAAGTCATCACAGAAATTTGAAGTGTGTTTTCTATAACTAAAGATAACCATGCTAACATAGCCATGTGTTATGTTAGCTTTTTTTTTTTTTTTTTTAAGACAGAGTCTCGCTCTGCCGCTCAGGCTGCAGTGCAGTGGTGCAATCTCAGCTCACTGCAACCTCCACCTCCTGGGTTCAAGCAATTCTCCTGCATTAGTTTCCCGAGTAGCTGGGATTATAGGCACTTACCACCACAGCCAGCTAATTTTTGTATTTTAGTAGAGACAGGGCTTTACCATGTTGGCCAGGCTGGTCTCAAACTCTTGACCTCCAGTGATTCACCCACCTCGGCCTCCCAGAGTGCTGGGATTACAGGTGGAGCTATCATGCCTGGCCTTACATTTTTTTTCTGCTGCCTGTATGTGTGCAAGTCTATATATCATCAATGGGTATAGGTGAATCTGTGCTGAAAACAAAAAAATAACATGAATACCAGCTACTATATAAGGCTGTTATAAGGATGAAATGCATTTAGCCAGTGCTCGTGCTCAGTAAAGGGCGGTTGTTTTATTACTACTAGGTGGGGTGGTGTGTGAGAATCCAAATACTGCCATTAGTAGGCTTTAGTATGTAGTGTGTACATGGAATTCATACATTAGTCTATATTATGTGTGGGATACTCACTCACCTGAGTAGCTTCTCTCCCCACTTACAGCGGCATCTGTTGAGAATTCCTGTGAGGGATAAGTCAGGGAGTGAACTTGTTACAAGGCAGGGGCAGGGAATGGAATATATACATGTGTCTAAGCTGAGGCATCCAGGTCAGAGGTGTTGATTGTTGAGGAGGTTGGCCTGGGAGGGCACAAGACTGGTGCCTGGCCACAAATATGAGTTGGGATTGCTGTACATGGAGATGGGGAAAGGGATGGAAACTCACAGGGACACAGCCAGAAAAATACACAAAGCAAGTGGAGTTAAAATTCAAGGGCCTTCCCACCCACCCCCCACCAAAAAAAAAAAAAACCCCAAAAACTCAAGAGCAGCTGGGCACGGTGGCTCATGCCTGTAATCCCAGCACTTTGGGAGGCCGAGGTGGGCAGATCACCTGAGGTCAGGAGTTCAAGACCAGCCTGACCAACATGGAGAAACCCCATCTCTACTAAAAATACAAAATTAGCCGGGCATGGTAGTGCATGCCTGTAATCCCAGCTACTTGTGGGGCTGAGGCAGGAGAATCGCATGAACCCGGGAGTTGGAGGTTGCAGTGAGCTGAGATTGCACCATTGCACTCCAGCCTGGGCAACAAGAGCAAAACTGTCTCAAAAATAAAAATAAAAGCCAGGTGCAGTGGCACATGCCTGTAATCTCAGCACTTTGGGAGGCTGAGGCAGGCAGATCACAAGGTCAGGAATTTGAGACCAGCCTGGCCAACATGGTGAAAACCCTATTTTGGTCTCTACGAAAAATACAAAAATTAGCCGGGCATGGTGGCACACACCTGTAATCCCAGCTGCTCAGGAGGCTGAGGCAGGAGAATCACTTGAACCCATGAGGAGGAGGTGGCAGTGAGCTGAGATCACATAACTACACACTCCAGCCTGGGCAACAGAGTGAGGGACTTCATATCTAAATAAATACATAAATAAATAAAATAAAAATTTAAAAAACTCAAGAGCTGGCCAGGCATGGTGGCTCACATCTATAGCACTTTGGGAGGCCAGGGCAGGTGGATCACTTGAGCTCAGGAGTTTGAGACCAGCCTGGACAACACGGTGAAACACCATCTCTACTATATATACAAAAAAATTAGCTGGGCATGGTGGTGCAGGCCTGTATTTCCATTTATTGGGAGGCTGATGTATCATGAGGCAGAAGAATCACTTTAACCCAAGAGGCAGAGGTTGCAGTGAGCCAAAATTGGGCCACTGCACTCTAGCCTGCATGACAAAGAGAGATTCTACCTTAAAAAAAAAAAAAATGTAAGAGCCCAACACACATATGTAAAAACTGGACACAACCTACTGAGATATGATTTGGGAAGATGTCCCTAATATACCCTAAAGCCAGAGACAACTGATACTCTATACAAATCAAATAGGCAGTTATACAGTTAAAAAACTCTCCTATATACACAAGGCCTCCCAAAGTCCCTCACAGGTAGCAATCCATTCATATAAACCCAGGGAAGGAACACAGAATTGGTAAAGTAATGACTCACAAGCAACAACATTGTACAGCCACAGAGTATGAGGAGATGCTGAAGCTCAGGGTGAGTACAAAGAGGATAAGAAAGTTGGATTATCGTGGAAGAAACGTCTGACAATGAGAGTGAAGTGGGAAGAGAGGCTGGGACACATCTTTGGAGCCAATTGCTTTTCTGGTAGGTCTCTGTAATGTAAGGCATGGGGAACACCTACCAAAGAGGCTGAGCCCCTCCTTCAGTCCACTGGCCACTTTGTATACTGAAGGGTGAGATTCGCTCTTAAAGATCTGCAGAACACTGTCAAGGAGAAATGGAGGAGTTTGGGGTAACTTGGATTTGGAAGGGAATGAGGATTGAGGACTGAGAAAATGGAATGGGAACAGGGGATATCCTCAGGCTGGAGTGCTGTGGTGCAATCTCAGCTCACTGCAACCTCCACCTCCTGGGTTCAAGCTATCCTACTGCCTCAGCCTCCTGAGTAGCTGGGATTACAGGCACAAACCAACACACCTGCTAATTTTTGTATTTTTAGCACAGATGGGGTTTCACCATATTGGTCAGGCTGGTCTCAAACTCCTGACCTCAGGTAATCCACCCACCTCGGCCTCCCAGAGTGCTGGGATTACAGGTATGAGCCACCGCATCCGACCGAGATCACATCTTGATGTAAGGTTTGTCCCTTACTTTTCTTTGCCTCAGTTTCTCCTCATAGAAAGTAAGGCTAATACCTTTATGCTTTACGCTTTTCTTCCTCTCTTCCCCTCAAAGCCCCCCTTCCCTTTCCTTCAAGGAGAGAGATCTTAATAGCCCCAGGATTAGGGAAACTAGAGCCTCATTAGGATTATTGGGGCATTAAACTTAATTCCTCTCCCTCCCCAGAGACAGCAGCATGCCTCCACCTCTTTACCTGTAAGTGTCTTGATCTAAGTTCACCAGATGAGTCCTGAGGACAGAAAACAAGCAGGAAGGTGGCTGGAGTATGAGGGGTCTGAGTTCATTCCAAAACTCTACCTCCTTTGTCCCCCTCTCTGAATAGTGCCCAGTCTTCTTCCCAAAATTCCGCACCTCCTTAGGTTCTCCTGGGTGTCCTAGAGCACTTTACCCACTAGGTCACAGCCACATCCTCACCCCTCTCCCACTTTACTTTTCAGGACTCCCAATCCCACATTACTTTGGTTGGGGTTGGGGTGAATCACCTACAACACAAATTTCTTAAAGGCCAGGATGGGGACGCTGACGTTATAGTCTTCCAGTTCAACCCCGATTCTTCTTCGACCCAGGAACTTCAGCAGCCCTCCAAGTGCTCGAACCTGGGAGAGGATCAGCAATGAAGTGGGGGTAAATCTTAATCTCCTGGGGGCTGTAGAGCACGAGGGAAAGCTATTCTTTTCTGGGGCTAGGCCAGTACCCCCCAGAACTCAGCCCTAGCACTGGGGTTCTTGTGCCTTTCTCCAACCTGCCGCCTCCCAGCCCTTATTTCCCAGCACCAATCTCACTGTGAGGAGGCAGTCAAAGGGAATAATGGAGGAGAGGAAGAGGATTTTCTCAGTGGCAGTCATGGAGTCTGGGATGAAGGAGTAGTTTCCAGAAAGGAGGCGTTGTTTGCTTATCTCCAGACCTATTTGAGGGAGGCAAGCAAAGGGAAAGGTCTTGTAGCTCAATTTTTTCACCCCATTTTAAGAATGAAACAATAGAAGCCAGAGAGATGATTTGACTTGCCCAAGCTCACATGAGCAGTTAACGGAAAGCTAAAGCAAGAACCAAATTTTCAGACTCTTAGTCTAATTCTCTTCTTATTCTTTTTTTTTTTACGGGGTCTTGCTATGTTGCCCAGGCTGGAGTGCAGTGGCTATTCACAGGTGCTATCCTACTAGTGATCGGCACCGGAGTTTTGACCTGCTCCGTTTCTGACCTGGGCCGGTTCACCACTCCTTAGGACCTGGTGGTCTCCCACTCCCGGGAGGTTACCATATCCATGCCGAACTTAGTGTGGACACCCGATCAGCACAGCGCACTACAGCCCAGACTCCTGGACTCAAGAGATCCTCCAGCCTCAGCCTCCCAAGTAGCTGGGACTACAGGCACATGCCATCACACCCAGCTTCTCTTCTTATGCTACATACAATATAAAGATACTTGGCTGAAAGCACAACCTGAGAAAGATAAATGGCTGAGGAAAGTAAGATATCTGTCTCAAATTGGGGATTTTGGCCAAAAAGATGGTATTAATAGAGGAACTAATAACACTAATGCCTTAATATCTAATTAGGATGGTACACTCCCTGTTCTTATTGTAAACCTAGGAAGGTTATAGAAGTGCCTTATGGATCATAAGGGTCACTGAGGCAGTGCCTTTTGGTTTTGTGATAAAAAAGCTTAAGTTAATGGGGAAAATCCCATCAATAAAATCTGTCCAAAAAGTGTCATCACTTCTCAGGGGAGGCCCTCATCCCTAGACATGTCTCAATCAGAGGCTTCACAATAAGCTGCAGATCATTAAAGGGTAGGGAGCAGGAGAGATCTTTCAGGGACTGGTCATAGGGCAGGAGGAGCACAAAGGTTTATGATGAGATAAGGCGGAGGGGAGAGCTGTGATGATGAAGGTAGAGTCTGGGGGAAAGGATGGAACACAGGAACAGGGAGTTGGGCAAAGCAAAAGGAAGGAAATACCAAAATCCACACTTGGCAAAAATATGATTTCAGGTCTCTTAGGCTCTCTGTGCTCCTGGGAGGCTGTGGGGAAGCAAAGAAAAGGCTATCATTCTGTACATCTCAGTCCTTCTACCTTTGTCTGACACTCCCTCTCACACAATTCTAGCCCCCTGGAACATTCCATACATGAGTCCTTCCCCATTTTCCCTCTCTCCTTTACCAAGTCCTTACCAAGCTTTCCCAGAAACCGAGTCATATTCTCATCCTGTTTGGCACTCGTAACAACAGATTGGGGATTGATCTCGTCCAGAACTTGGAAGAATAGAGACCAAATGAGTTAAAGGATCTGTCTTTGACTATGAGAAAACCCATAGCCCTCCTCTTCCTACTCCTATCCTCAAAAACATTTCCTCCCTAGGAATAGGGAGTACTCTGCGTATTGGGAACATAGGTAGAAGTTAGGAATAAGATTTAGAAAATTAGTAAGAGTGATGGGATGATGGGAGGGAAGAAGTGTGCTCTGGATATTGTCACTGGACTATAAACCCCTGGAGAACAAACATGACTGATTTGCCCAGGACTATATCTGCAGCACCTGAAACATTGTGAATACCTCACAAATACTTCTGGCCGGGTGCAGTGGCTCATGCCTGTAATCCCAACACTGGGAGGCCAAGACAGGCAAATCACTGGAGGCTGGGAGCTCAAGACAAGCCTGGTCAATGTGGTGAAACACCATCTCTACCAAAAATATAAAAATTAGCCAGGTTTGGCAGCACATGCCTGTAATCCCTGCTACTCAGGAGGCTGAGGAAAAAGAATCACTTGAACCTAGGAGACAGAGATTGTACCACTGCACTCCAGCCTGATCAACAGAGTGAGACACTGTCTCAAAAAAAAAAAAACAAACTCACAAATATTTGTTAAATAATGACATGAATTCCTAAGAACAACAGATGGAGCTTCTGTGAGGCAACTATATATTGAGTCAGTGCTATAGTTTGAATATGATTTGTCCCCACCAAATCTCGTGTTGAAATTTAATCCCCAGTGTGATAGTGTTGGGAGATAGGGCCTCGAAGGAGGTGTTTGGGTGATGGGAGTAGATTTCTCATAAACAGATTAATCCTCTTCCTGGAGTATGTTTGTGGGTATGTGTGAGTGGTTCTCACTCTATTAGTTCCTGAGAGAGCTGATTGTCAAAAAGATCCTGGCATCTCCCTTCCCCTTGCTTTCTCTCTGACATGGGACCTCTATACACCCTGCCTTCCCTTCTTCCATGAGTTGAAGCAGCCTAAGGCCCTCATCAAAAGAAGATGCCCAATTTTGAGCTTTCTGACCATCCAGAATCATGAGCCAAATAATTTTTTTTTTTTTTTGGCTGAGCATGGTGGTTCATGCCTATAATCCCAGCACTTTGGGAGGCCGAGGCGGGTGGATCACCTGAGGTCAGGAGTTCGAGACCAGCCTGACCAACATGGAGAAACCCCATCTCTACTAAAAATACAAAATTATCCAGGCAAGGTGGTGCATGTCTGTAATCCTAGCTACTCAGGAGGCTGAGGCAGGAGAATCGCTTGAACCTGGGAAGTGGAGGTTTCGGTGAGCTGAGATTGCGCCACTGTACTCCAGCCTGGACAACAAGAGCGAGACTTCAACTCAAAAAAAGTTTTTTATTTTTTTAAATTACCCAGCCTCAGGTATTCATTTACAGCAATACAAAATACACTAGACAGTGAGGTAAGTTAATATAAGTGAAACATGACTGGGTGTGGTGGCTCATGTCTATAATCCCAGCACTTTGGGTGGCCAAAACCAGTCAATCACAAGGTCAGGAGTTCGAGATCACCCTCGCCAACATGGTGAAACCCGTCTCTACAAAAACAAAAAAATTAGCTGGGTGTAGTGGTGTATGCCTGTAATCCCAGCTACTGGGGAGGTTGAGGCAGGAGAATTGCTTGAACCCAGGAGGCAGAGGTTGCAATGAGCCAAGATGGCGTCACTACACTCCAGCCTGGGCAACAGAGCAAGACTCTGTCTTGGAAAACAACAACAACACATATTTTTTTTGTGTTTCGTGTGTGTGTGTGTGTGTGTGTGTGTGTCACACATTTCTAATCCCAAAGAGCAGAGGAATTCATGGTTCTGTCCCCACCTCTCTGGAGAAGCTTGAGGCTCTCGTGGTCTGGGGCATCTGGCATGAAGTGGATAGTGGAGTCACTAGTGTCATAGTAGGCAATGCCCAAGTATCCTGAATTCCACAGCACACACAGATGGATCTGTCCAGCAAGGAAGAAAGGAAACCACTATTTGAACCACTCATGAGCGTAAGGTTTGCCACGCCTTATGTAATTAAATAATTTAATCAAATCTCTGAGATAGGCATCATCACCCCATTTAGTGACTGTGAAAAAGCCACTCAGGAGGTAAGAGACATGCCCAGTTGTTTCCAACTCTCTTTTTTTTTTTCCGATGGAGCCTTGCTCTGCAGTCCAGGCTAGAGTACAATGCGCGCGATCTCAGCTCACTGCAACCTTCGCCTCCCAGGTTAAAGCGATCCTCCTGCTTCAATCTTCCCAGTAGCTGGGACTACAAACACGCGCCACCCCACACCCAGCTAATTTGTTTTGTGTTTTTAGTAGAGACGGGGTTTCACCATGTTGTAAGCAGGCTGGTCAGGAACTCCTGAGCTCAGATGCTCCGCCTGACACGGCCTCCAAAGTGCTGTGGAATTTGAGCCACCGCCCACGGCCCCCAACCCTCTCTTATTTATTTATTTAGAGATGGAGTTTCGCTGTTGTTACGCAGACTGGAGTGCAATGGCACTATCTCGGCTCACCGCAACCTCTTTCATCTGGGTTCAAGCAATTCTCCTGCCTCAGCCTCCCGAGTAGCTGGGACTACAGGCGCGCACCACCGTGCCCAGCTAATTTTTGTATTTTTAGTACAGACAGGGTTTCACCTTGTTGACCAGGATGGTCTCGATCTCTTGACCTCGTGATCCACCCGCTTTGACCTCCCAAAGTGCTGGGATTATAGGCGTGAGCCACTGCCCCCGGCCCACCCTCTTTTATTTTAACTTTCCATCCACTCTCCATTCAAGTTCCTACTCCCCTCAGAGACCTCGGCCAGTTCCTCCTCCTCGACTTCCTCTTCCTCGGCCCCCCCGGGGGCCGGCACTGCGACCGGGCTGGGGAAGCGGGTGGAGGCCTCTCTAGGTCCCGATCCCTGCGGCGTCCTGCTTGGGGTCGCTCCTAAGGAGGCCATGAGTCTGGAAGTTCTGCGGATGCAAAAAGTGAGGGCAGTTCAGAAGCAACTCTCCACGGAGGCCGGGTAGGGTGGCGCGCAGAAGGCAATGAACTGAGTACTTCTGCGACAGGGCTGAGGGGCGTGGAGAGCTGTGGACGCGGGTCTGGGTGCATTTTGAGGGGGTGAATTATCGGGTATTTAACTAAAGCACAGATTGTGGGAAACTCCACGCGCCCCATCCTCATTTCTGTCACGCGGAGGTTGTACTTTGGAAGAGGTCTGAGGGGCCTGTGGAGAGAGTCGTGCGCGTCTTATCTCTCTGCCTCTGCTAAGCAACGCGCCAGGACCACAGCTTCACGCTCTTCCTCCTCCCCCAGCTGCCTCCATCGAAGCGTTTTCCCGCCTTTTCGGTCACCTACGTAGCGACACGCGAGAGAACGCACCACTGACCAACCGCCTAGAGTCTGCGGGAGGGACGCGCCGGTGCGTGAGCGGGATGCGCGCGCACACGCCCCGCCCTCCTAGCCGCTATTGATTGGAGAGGCCCGGATCCAGCCTAGAGATCCGACAGAGTGAGGAGGAGGGGCTATACTGCCGTCTCCGAAGAGTCTGGACGCTGATTGGCCTATTTGCATTGGGGGGGCGGGTCTAGAACGTTCAAACTTCCCGCCCTCTGCCGTTGCTTAGCAGCCGCGCATCCAGCCCTCAGGGTTTCTGGACTTTGATTGGCACAGTGGGAAGCCCGCGAGAAGGTCGGATAAGGGGCAGCAGTCCCAGTCCCTGGAAGGGTTCTGGGAGCGTTGCGGGGGTATGAGGAGGCCAACCTTAAGGTTTAAAGCGCCAGAGGCGCGCTTTTTTTTTCTGCAACGACTTTAAGTTAATATTTGTACCCTCTGAGTTAATATTTATACAGAGCTTAGAAGTGCCTGGCAAACAAAGTAAGATCTACTTGAGCAGTATTTCAAATAAATAAGAGTAAATAAGCAAGACTCCTATCTCAGCGCTACCTTGTCTGTTTCCTGGGTGCAGGGTATGACCACCCCCATAATGGCACAAAGGGGCCTAATTTATTATTTAAACCCCTCAAGTGGAGGTGGAAGCATTTGAAATACACCAAATTCTGGCAGAGACAAGTAGTTCTGAACACCACACCCCTCCCTATTGGGATATGCCCATACCCCTCTGCACATCTGCACACCCTTGAATACAGAGAGGTATCATTCAAGCATTCAGCAACTATTTATTTAGTGCCTATTCTGGACCAGGGCATGGACTCAAAGCGGTGAACATAATGAAGTCCCTGCTCCATAAAGCATATTTGTGCGTGTGTGTGTGTGTGTGTGTGTGTTGGGGGTGAAGAGACACATATTTTTCTCTCCTGTGAGAGAGAAGAGACACATATTTCTCTCTTATGAGAGAGAAATATATATATATATATAAAATCCCTTAAAATACACCATCCTCCCCAGCTCTGTTCTCACTACCCTGAGATGGGGAGATTCCTCCCCAGCCCCCTAACTCAAGAAGTTAGGAACCATGGTGGGGGTGAGATGACCTAGCTGTGCTAACCAGTAATTGGAACATCCCCTCCAGCAAGAAAGGTGGGGGAATGGTTAAGAGCTGGGTTAATGGTTACCCCTGGCAAATTTGTTGAGCAATGGAGCTATAGAAACTTGGAGGAGGTTGGTGACAGATCTGGGAGTGTCAGGGAGGGACCCACCTTCCAATCTGGGGTGTGAAGAGATTAGAGACTGGTTTACCAAGCCCAGGAAGGGAGGGAGTGGAAAGAGAAGCCCAGAGAGGGAACGAGGAGATACTGAAACAGGAGAAATGCAGGGAAAAGGAGGTGAGATGGAGGCAAACCTCTGATGCAGGATTTGGGGGACAGCCCTGGCCTCAAATCTGTGAGGGCTCTGCTGGATGGTTCCAGGAGAGGACATCCTTGCCTGTCACTTGGTAAATTAAGGCATGATTGGGTAGTCATGCCAACCAGCTAAAGTCAATATTGGTATCAAGGCAGCTGTAGCTATAACGCTGTAGGAGAGAAAAGAGGCTGCCAAACCTGTTTGATCCTCAAGCTGGCTCCATTTACATGAGGTTTCTCTCGGACACAGACCAGTTGGAACAGGAGAGAACCCTGAGAAGTAGAGCTGCTTTGATCTCCTCCCCTCGGTGGGAAGGGTCTGTGTGCAGATTTGAGGGTCACCGTGGAGGGAATTCACACACACACAGTCATGGAGTCATTCTATATCCTTATAGGATGTTACAGTTCAAGGGAATGAACACCAAAGACAGCCCTTCTATTGGGAGGAGAGAAAAAGGCCCTCCCACAGGCAGGAGGAAACCCACAGAAGAGGAAGCACAAGAGGAAACCACCAACTGCTGGTTTCCAGCAACACATCACGTCACTCCACCCCACTCCTCCCCCAAGTCTCTCCCTTTCTTTAAGTTTCAAGCCCTGTTTATTTTGTTTGTTTGTTTGTTTTCTTTTTTGAGACGGAGTCTTGCTCTGTTGCCCAGGCTGGAATGCAGTGGTGAGATCTCGGCTCACTGCAATCTCTGCCTTCTGGGTTCAGGGGATTCTCTTGCCTCAGTCTCCTGAGTAACTGGGATTACAGGCACACACCATCACACCCAGCTAATTTTTGTATTTTTAGTAGAGACGGGGTTTCACCGTGTGGTCAGGCTGATCTTGAACTCCTGACCTTGTGATCCGCCCTCTTGAGCCTCCCAAAGTGCTGGAATTACAGGTGTAAGCCACTGCACCAGCCAACCCCTGTTTTGCTTCTGTGTTCTTGTACTCCACCATGGTTTTCTGGAACTGTAGGTCTTTTGTTAGACAGAGAGTGATGAGGAAGAAAGAGAAGAGATGGTTGGACGGGAGAGAAATTCAGGATATGGAGGCTGGAATTATGGGGCTATTTTTCAGCAGATCATAAAACGTTTAATAGAAATCAAGGTTACTGAGGAGAGAGCTGCTCTTCCTGTGTCCTCCCTGTTTATTTATTTAGGTGTCCCCAAGGACTCCACTTACACTATTCTGTCCAATCTTTGCTTTATCCCCATGACAGGACCAGCTAGCAACACCCCTACCCCATACCCCACACACATACCTCAGGATTGTGGCAGCTCTATCCCAGCCTTGATAATCCCACCCCTCTGCCCCATCTCCAAGGCAACCTGTCAGTGAGAAGAGGACAAAGGGCACAGGAATGGGCCCCAGTTGGAAGGATAAGTGGAAGCACAAAGCTGACCAAGCTATAGGAATAGACCTCCCCCTGCAACAAAGCCCCTTACCTCAGCTTCTTGTTTCCTTAGCACAAGACTAGGTCATCTCCCTTCCCATCCCTATCATCCCTAACTCTACTTTCTTTTTCTTTTTCTTTTTTTTTTTTTTTGAGACAGACTTTTGCTCTTGTTACCCAGGCTGGAGTGCATTGGCACCATCTCAGCTCACTGCCAATTTCAACTCCCAGGTTCAAGCAATTCTCCTGCCTCAGCCTCCTGAGTAGCTGGGATTACAGGTGCCTATCACCATGCCCAGCAAATTTTTGTATTTTAGTAGAGATGGGGTTTCACCATGTTGGCCAGGCTGGTCTCAAACCCCTGACCTCAAGTGATCCACCCACCTTGGCCTCCTAACGTGCTGGGATTACAGGCGTGAGCCACCCTGCCCAGCCCCTAACTCTACTGCGATCCCAAGTCTAGGCCACAAGGACTGCAACTCTTAGGCAAGTCCTAGTGCTGAGCTGGGCCCAGGGACAGTAGACTGTATGGGGCACAGGACCTACTGAGACACACCACCTGGGCAGCTCAGGGAGTGCTGGCATACCTCTTCCCTAATCCCAGGCTGCACAGCTAACGGTTACCATTCCCAGTCCCAGCCTTCCACTTCCAAGTTCTTCTCTCAGACTACAGCCCCGGCAACCCAGAATTTGGATTGGTATCCAGAAGAAATGCAGAAGGATTAAACGACACCTTTCATTCCAAGATCCCATCCCTGGATCTTCATGGATGTTCCCAAGCTGTCAGCGTCGTTTTTTGTATGAGGGTCAGTCGGGTTATACTCAGATTAATGAAGCAGGGAAACTGAGGCAGAAAAGAGTCCTGTGTTCAGGAGAGATCGGAGAAACAAGGTTTTCAGGACTCCTCCCTAACACTCCCATCCCCATCCGGTGGGAGATCCGAGGATTCTCCCTCCGGACCCACTCCCTACCTCGTCGAGTCCCGCCCCTCTCCAGTCCCCTCCCCAGGTTCAGGGCGGGGCCGGTCGGTGAGTCAGCGGCTCTCCGATCCAGCCCGGGAGGGGACGGAGCTGGAGGAGCTGGGTGTGGGGTGCGTTGGACTGGTGGGGAGTCTCAGAGCAAACAGGGTCTGATTGGGCTTGTGTTGCGCTGAAGGGACAACCCTGGGTCTAGGGGAGAGAATCCCTGAGTGTAAGACCCGCCTTCTCCGGCCCCAGCCCCTCCCAGTTCCCCCAGCGACGGCCACTTCCTGGTCCCCGACGCAACCATGGCTGAAGAACAACCGCCGGTCGAATTGTTCGTGAAGGTAAGAACACTGCCCTCCAAAGGCACCCAAATTCCTGGAAGCCAGTTCTCACCTTTCCCCCCGTCCAGCCTTAACTCCCCAATCCCTTCCCTCCTTGACTCCCACCCTGAATCCCACGTGCACTCTTTGGTTCAGGGGTGGTTTTGGGAGGGGAAGATCTTAACTTGTTAGCAGGTAATAAGAATTAGAGAATCAACCCTGAAAAGTTTGAAAAAGTGCAAGTTTCTAGCAACCTAAAGGAAGGGAAGTAGAGAAAAAGAATTCCCAAAAGCGAGATTGCGGCGGTGGGAGGCGGGGCGAGCTGATGAAGGGACAGTGGGGGCCCGTAGAGTTTAGAAAGGACAGAGGGGAATCTCAGTTAGGACATGTGGCCCTCTAAGATCTGAGGGTGAGTAGTGTAGTAGGGGAGGGGTGTGTGTGTGTGTGGCTGGGTGTGTTGAGGGAGGCCTGAGAGTGAGAGCAAGTAAACTGGGAAGCTTTGGAGGGATGGAACAAAACAGGAGACTGGGATTGGAGTTCAGAAAGCAGAGCTGGAGAGGTGATGGGGTGGTATCGCATATCCCCCGGGTTTGGGAAAGGGACAGAAGGGGAGGTGGCAAGGAGACGTGAGTTTAAGGTAGCTACAACTAGGATGGGTGGGAGAGAGATCAGGCAGAAGGAGAGCTCGGTTAGGGCATTTTGAGGTTTGGGGGTTGAAGAAGCAGATTTGCCCCAGCTCTCTCCGCTCTCTTCGGTGGGTGAAGAGAAATGGTCCTTTGGCATTTGGGTACCAAAACTGCAGGCAGCAGGCTTCTCGGCGTCGCCTGGCTCCCCTCCGACTCTAGCGGCTGCTCCCCTCCCTACCGCTGCTGCATTCTTTCCCCAGCCTCGGGACCTCCTGTCTGTGCCCCTCCCTCCCTTCTGTAACAGCGTCCTCTTCTCCCTGCTCCATTTGTGTCTCCCTGTTGGCACAAATGTCTCCCCACCCTCCACTTTCCTGCTGCCTTTCTTTCCACTTCCCGGGACCCTTTTGTTCCTCTCATCTTTGTGTCTCTGCCTGTGTCTCCCTCTCCCTTCTGCTTGGGTGTCTTGGGCAGCCATTCCCTCTCCCTGGGCTGGGGAAGTCAGAGTGTGCCTGGGTCCGCCCACTTAGGTGTGGTCCCCACCTCACTCTCACACTCGCCTCTGGGGCTATTTTTACTCCTGGGTGAGGCTGTGCCGCAGAGATTCTGGCCCTGTGTCCTGTGAGAGGTTGGTTATCTGCATTAAGAGGACTTGTGCTGGGAGGCCCTGGCAGCGGGTTCAGGGGTAGCCTTAGCTGCCCAGGCCTCATCCTCACAGGTCCCTTCCCCCACTTCCTTGACAGGAAGGAAGCTGCTGAGGCCAGAGACAGAGAGATG